TTTTTGTTTTGTCTTGTTTTGTTTGATAAACAACCCACAAATGTTTATATGTAAAAAAAAGAAATGAAATAAAAATTTTTTATGTCATCATTTAGTGTCTTTTTTTTTCGTTTTTCCAATTTGACAAATTCAATTTGATTAAATCCTGTGTATTGTTGTTGTTGTTGTTGTTGTTGTTACGATTGCACAATAATGATAAATTCATCATTAAAATGTTAGATTTTCATAAAGCCATTTATTTTAATAGTACAATTCAAAACATCAGTGCCATTTCTCTCTCTCTCTCTGTCTGTGTTTTTGTGTGTTTAGGATTTTCTAAATCTTATTGCTTCATTATGATTAAATAAATTCTTCATTTTCGTTGTTGATGACGATGATGAGATTATGGGCCTACGTAGAAAAAAAAATTTGACTGAAATTACTTGAAACCATTGATTACACATTGAACTGATTGCCTTTGTTTTTGATATGATGTGATTGATTTGAGCAACTTTGAAAACAAACTACACATACACATATACACACACAAAGAGTTTGTCTTGATTGTTTATTTTTTTTTTTTTTTTTTTGGATCAAAATTGATTCGGATTCATGTTGATTTTTCATGTATTATGTCTGTGCCGTGTGTGTGTGTATAAATGGAACACGTCCACAAAGTGTGACGCCGCCGCCGCCACCACCACCGCCAATTGTGATCGTTTCGTTTCTTTACTTGATTATAAAAATAAATTGAATCAATAGTAGAAATTGAACACACACACACACAGAATGATGATGATGATGAACGTTAAAGAATTGAAGAATAATTAATTCAATTTTTATTTCTGCGATTGATTGCATTTGTGTGTGTGTGTGTGTGTGTGTGTGTATTTATGATGTGGGAATGTTACGCCCAGAAAATTCTCTTATTTCTCTTTAAATTATTAATGATGAATTGACATTTTTTGTTCATTCATTCATTTTATTTTATAAATCTACAACCAATTTTTAATTGTTCCTTTGAAATCATAAACTTTGTGGATCAATAATAAACTGCATATACAGCGGCAGCTGCCGCTGCTGCTGCTTTAAATGCTGAATAATCCGCTCATTTCGATCGATAATTTTTTTTTTTTTGATTGAAATTTATAAATGTCATTTTCTGGAATTTTCCAGAAAAAAAACTGCCACCATTTTCGTTGTTGATGATGTTGAAAATGAATGTAGGCTGCTGCTGTTGGTGAAATGACATCATCATTTAAGACATTGCCGACATTTGATAAATATCTAGCTCACATTTTTTTCTTTATTTTCGTTGTTTTGCTGGATTCGAATTTTTTTTTTGTTTTGTTTTGTTGTTGTGCGGTTAACAAAAAATAATGATAATAATAAGGGATGTGAGAGAGAACATGTTATTTTTTTTGTGGAATATACTGTCACAAATTGAAATTTGCCGGTTTGTGATGATATATATGTTATGTATCAAAAAAAAAAAAAAATGGGTTTTACAAAAATCGTTCACGATAATGATAATAATAAGGGATGTGAGAAGAGAACATGTTATTTTTTTTTGTGGAATATACTGTCACAAATTGAAATTTGCCGGTTTGTGATGATATATATATAGTGGTAACGTGCATTGTATTCAATTTTTTTTTTCGTATGTGTGGTCTGTGTTTTTGTTGATGGTGATATTTTTTTTTTTTTGGTTCATAACATCATGTTTTCTGTTGTGTCCAAATTGCATCTTTCGTATCCTATGATTTTTTTTGTGGCCATCAATCGTTTATATCTATCTATCTATCTAAATCGGGCATCTATTTTTTTTTATCTCCCAATTTTTCATTCAAAACACTTCCTTTCTATTTTTTTTTATCATATAATTTACGGTTGATTAGCTTTGATTAGCATCATCGTGGTGGTAATGGTGGTGGTGGTGGTGGCTGTTGTCACCACTATGGTGTGTGGATATCATATCATTTTTTTCCGCTGAATGTATTATAATCATATAGCATGCTGTATGTTTAGCGTTGAAAGCAACAACAACAACAACAACAAAAAATTGATAGTAATTTGTTTGTTAGCGGCGGTGGCGGCGGCGGTAGCCAAGATGTGTGTGTGTGTGTGTGTGTGTTGATGTCGAACCGTATTAAAGATCATTTTTTTCCTTAATTTCTCCATGTTGTGTTGTGATGATGATGATGATGATGATGATCAGAAGCTGCTTACACATCACATCACATCCGTACATTTGATAACATTGTCTTGTATAATATTTTTTTTTCCATTTTTTTTTCTTTTGATAATTTGTTCCGTTTCATTTGGTTTTATGTTTTTATATACTTGTTTTTCAATTTGTAACCTAACCACGTTCGATGTAAATGATGATGATGATGATGATGAAAAGATTATCATAGAAAAAAATTGTTATATATAAATCATACAATCCGATGAAAAAAAAAACAATTATTCGACGAATGAATGAATGAATAATAATATTTACAGCTGAATTGTCCAGATATATACAGACATTATCATTTTTGATCTGAAAATCTTTTTTTTTCTTCTTCATTTCTCGAATTCAAACCATTGTTTCATGGTTTCTTCTGTGTGTGTGTGTGTGTGTACGAAAAACGAAAAAAAAACGAAAATTTGTCACGCAATCACCATTTTTTTTGTGACTGTAAACCAAATAATCATTCTAATAATAATAATAATAATAATAAGATCACCCGAAACAAAAAGACATGCATTCTTTGATTATTTTCCGAATGATGATGATGATGGAATCACCAAAACACAAGGTGGTAAATGAATTGAATATTACATGAAATTTGAAATCGGATTTCGAATGAAAAAAAACGATGATGATGATGATGATGATTATTGCTTGTTGAACAAATGAGCTTATTGTGAGCTAATATTTCATTCTTTTTTTTCAGATTGAACATTTTTTTCTGGTTTTTTTTCTGGTTGTTGATAATCACATTAATTATTCAAGTCTTTATTGTTATTTTTATTCGTTTCTTGATTCTCTGTCCTCAATTGTGTGTTTACCAATAAATATTTAAACACACTGCTTTTGAAGCAAAAAAAAAAAAAATGATTGCCATGATTTTCTTTCTTACATTCTGTTAGATGATGATGGACAAGAACTGGTCATATGGATAAATGAATGAATGATAAGAGGATGAGAAATGAAAAAAATAAGAAAATCTGGCTTGTCCAGTGTGTGTGTGTGTGTGTGTGTGTGTGTGTGTTTTATTCACTGTGTTCAAATGTTCAAATCCAGTCCAAGTTAAACCTGGAATGAATGAATAAATGAACCTCGAATATTTTTGTTTTTGAACATTTTTTTATTTTTGGGTGCGTTTAGTACAAAGTGTAGACACATAGATAGACAGTGTATTTATCCGTCGATATTTTCTTTTCCTCATATTTTTTTTTCTTCTTCTTCTTCTTAGTGTCGTTTATTGACCATTTCATTGAAAAACATAGTGTGTGTTGATCGTTGATCGTATAGTAGAATTTTTTTTTGTCAGAAAAAAAAATCCTAACAACCGGACCTTCAAGTGTCTACAATATTGACTGGAAAACATACACACAGAAGAATAAGAAGAAGAAGAACGACAAGAACATCTTTTTTGGCATCCAATTATAGCTCATCATCATCATCATCATACATCCATCACGCAATCATCAGGGCAATTTACAGAGACCTATGAACTAACATTTTGTCGCCTATATATTCATGTGTGTATGTGTGTGTTTTTCATCAAGCTAGTTTTTAGTCCAGTTGTTGGGTTGTTTGTTGTTTGAAAATATTGTCGGATTCTCACTGTGATCGAATTTTTTTTTCTTCCTCTTTTTTTCATTTTATCAATCGGCCGTTCAACCACAAATCGTTAAGCCAAGTTTGTTTGACGTGTGTGTGTGTGTGTGTATGTTTGTTTGGGTACTACTGCTGCTGCTGCTGCTACTGCTGGTCGAATATTTTTGATCGGTCATTGATTGTCAATATTGTGTGTGTGTGTTATTGGCCATCATCAATGGCTTTCACATTTTCATATTTATAAACATATGTTAAAAATACTATATCAGTGGTTCCATTGATTATCAAATATTATGTAGTTGACTTATCATCCATATGTTCTGGGCTGATCTCGAAATTTTTTTTCTTGTTCTTGATGATATGTGACAAACTAATCAATTAATTAATTAATCAATTATTTAGTTGATTTTTTTCCCAAATTGTGTTTATTATATTCCATTCATGTGTTTACCCTTGTCAATGGATTAATTATTACTAAAATGTCATCACATCAATATTGATCTGCTTATAATTTGTTTGTTTGTTGTTTCATTTTCATTGACTTTTTCTGAAATGCTCAAGACTAGGCGGTGTCATTATTTTTTCGTTTTCTTCTTTTTTTTGAATGGTGTATCATCATCATCATATCCTCGAAGAAGCTTATGATATCTGTCGAGGACAAACTGTATAATAGGAATGTGTATTTTTTTCATCATTCTCCCACTCTTATATGATTCGTGTATGATGATGATGATGATCATCACCATCATCATCATCATCATCATCATCATCATCATTATGACCAAAGTCATATACAGACACACACACACACACAAATGCAGACATATGTTCTTGCTTTTCATTTTATTTTTTTTTTTGCTCACAGACAAACAGACACACACACACACTTGATATGGTCGTTGGTCATCTGAGCAGCTAAAAAATTTTTTTTTATATTCAAGATCTTATTAAATATTTGATTCAATCATCCCACCACTAATATTGATCTCAGTTCAATAAATGAAAAAAATAATTCTTGGGCACTGTAAGTGCTGCTGTTGTTGTTGTCCACATTTTATTTTTTGAATTTTTCTTCATTTTGTCATTACAATTGTTTACAATTAATTCGATATTAAAAATAATCATTTTTATCACGTTTATAATCAATAATAATAATCATTTTCGTTTTGTTTTGTTTTGTTTATTTCAGTAAATTCAAAGAAAGAAGAAGAAGAAAATAATTATCGTGTGATTAGAATCATCAGAAGAAAAAAAAACAATACCGTTTGTCAGCGAAAACTAATTCAATGTGACTACCTACTACTCTTGATGGGTTACAAACGCAATGATAATGATAATTTTTGGTGTTCATTCCAACAATTTGGTAAGCAATTTTTGTTTACGTGATTTATTATTATTATTATTATTATTAACAACAACAACATTTTTTTCCATTCAATTTTCAAGTATAGAAATTGGAAGAAAAATGATAAGAAATTCAAAATGAAATCCTATCAACCTTATAGTCAATCATCATTATTGTTATTATGATTGAACGTAAATCGATACCTTGGATGGTTGCGTGTGTGTGATTGAAAATTGAATACGACTAGAATTCATGTTTTTATTTCTATTTTTTCTTATATTCAAATATCACAATTGAAGCTTGAATAATCTTTCAAACAACAACAACAACTGCTACTGCACATCATCATAAAATATAATAATGTTGCAAATCAAACTTCCTGTGAGAGCATATAAGAAGCTTATCTATTTAGCTTCAGTATCAAGTTTTCTATGTTTTTTAGCATTACATTTAACCATTAGTTATCAACGTGATAGGATACCGTATGATGTTTTGGCGGATACAACGGATCATAATAATAATGCATTCGGTACGGTGACTACAGGTCAAGTTATACGTGGTTTATTACAAAAAACCGATTCTAGTGATCGTACAACATCAATAATAATAAACCATGATTCAACGACATCATCATTATCATCATCAGGCAACAAAAGTAAAAATTCAATAGTCATACAAAAATCATCATCTGCTCAATTGTTACCAACTTTGCCAATGACAAATAGTACGAGTGCCATTATACTATCGAATCAAACGAATAGTCTAATACAATCAAATAGCAATACAAATTCAAACATCTTTGAGTCGCCAGCAAACAAGCAAATCGATGAAGACATATCAACATATCTTGATTTGGAACCTCATATCGATTCCATGCCTATTTTAGGTGAAAATCAACTTTTAATTGATCTTGAAAATCGAAGCAATAATAATCTAGCCTTGACGTATTGGCTAAAAGCTCGTAAATATCCGAAGCCAAAATCATCATCTAATGTTAAAAGTTGTCGAGTTGAATTTCCCAATCTTTATGAGCTTGAATTTAACAATATTTATTGGCAAAAATTTACAACTGGGAATAGTTCATTTTATTTATATGGAGCCTATTATGATAATCGTTGGCGTGGCGGGCCATTGCCTATGGTTAGAATATTGGCAATGATTGATCGAATTGCACCACCACCAACTCTTTGTCAGATTTGGTTTGATCGAATTTCCGTGCCAATTATTTCACAGGCCACTTATATTTACGGATGGTATAGTAAATGGGGCAATTATAAAGATGGCTTTCTACAGCCATACATAATAACATGTAAAATCCCAAGAATCAAAGGATTACCAAAAGATTTTTATCCCACATCTGTATCACTAGTCGATAATCGTTGCCTAAAAGCAAACAATAATCTCAAGATAATCAACAATCGGCCGGCAAAAAAACAAGAATTTGCCGTCTGCGTCAAAGGCCTTGATTTCTTACATGAAGATCTCAGCGTTCGTTTAGTCGAATGGATCGAGCTGTTACGATTGATGGGCGCCAACAAGATTTTCCTCTATGATCTAGAGATCCACCCAAACATAACTAAAGTATTGAATTATTATCAAAATGAAGGCGCCGTTGAGCTGACAAAAATTTCATTGCCGGGTCATCAACCTAATTTGCCTGGCTTCAGACATCTTTATTTGAAAAACAAGCTCACAAATAAACGACAAAATGAGCTGATTCCTTACAATGATTGTCTTTATCGTAATTTGTATAGCTATAATTATGTCGCTCTACTCGATATTGACGAAGTGATAATGCCTCTCAAACATTCCAATTGGTCCGATATGATGGCTGAAGTGCAAAGGCTGTCATTGATGGAAAAAAATTACACCCGAGCCAGTTACAATGTTCGTAATGTATATTTTTTGGACGATTTAAATCACAACGAAGAACAGATGCATCATGAAGCGCATGAAGCTGGAATACCGCGTTATTTGCACATGCTTCAACATGTATATCGTTCACAAAATTATACAAAGCCAGGCCAATATGTCAAATGTTTTCATAACACAGAACGGGCAGTGTCTCTACACAATCATTTCCCATTGAATTGTTTTGGAACCTGTACCACTTATTCGATTCCGATAGAATTAGCACATCTTCAACATTATCGAAAAGATTGTGTTGGTCCGTTGAAAAAAAGTTGTAAAGAATTCAGACAATACACAACCCGTGATACGACTATTTTTCGTTACAAACATGAACTTGTTCAACGAACCACTCATGTACTGAAAACATTAGGATTCTTTGACCAAAATTCCATTGAACATACTGCATAGATTTCATTGGAAATTTTCAACAAATCGAGATTCGACCAGATGGATCATGTGTTCATTGCTTTATCAGATGATTGTCAGAACAACGAACCACTGAACAAATTTTCATCATTTTTTTTGAATAACATTGGTTTTTGGGCAAAACAACCACCATTCACCAGATAATTCGGGCTAAATGTCTAATGAATTTTTAAAATGAAGAATTCCTAAATAACCGAACTAGTCGTTTAATCACAACAATACAAATATTTTGTATATACACGATTTTTCTTTATGCCGTTTTCATATTTGACACATTCATGCACCACACACACCTTTTTCAGTCTCATGGGATGAATTAATGAACATGGGACATTTGTGATCTTTTTTTTCTTTCTTTTATTATCTTTTGTTTTAAAATTCCATCTCACTTTAACTGCATCGATGCATCAAATCAACATGCTGGTATAATATACTTAATAAATACATATATTCATCCGGTGCCAATCATCTTAATAACACCTCAAATTTGTTTTAGCCATCAAATTCATCGATCTTCACCCAAATAGCCATTACATCATTATCGGATGGAAAGAAATGGAAAATTAATGATCGACCAAATCATGTCATGCAGATATAATAACTTGTAATCTTGTAATTGTTAATATTTTCATTTTGTGGTTTTCTTTGAATAAAATGATTTTTCTATGAAAATGATTGATCGACTTTTTTCAGTGTTTATAAATGTGAAATGATTTTTTTTTTGTGAAACAGGTACTTCCATCTATTGACAATTTTACCATGTTTGACAATTTCAACAAGTTTCCGATATTGGTGCCATCTGTTGTCAGAAATGTTATTCGAAATGAATTCAGAAAAAAGTTCAGTTATTGAATTACTTGTTGAATTATCCGATTTTCATTCGTATATTTAGCAAAAACATATATGTCGTGGGAGGACTTTTAAAATAAAATCCAAAACACAATTACAAAGTTTTTATATTGATAATTAAGAATGGCCATAACCACAAATTTAAGGTCACAAAAAAGATTTCACACATATATCAGTTTTTATTGTTGATTTTTTTCGAATTCCGACCAAGCATCATTTAGCTCAATAAAAATATATTTGGCCAATTCTTCATGTGGATTACCTACCAGCTGAAGAGGAGGAAAAAACATTGTCAATTAAATATGTTGAAAACTGCTATTATGACCAAAGTGTTTACCTTGTCTGGATGAACAGCCAAGCAAGCTTTTCTATACATTTTTTTAACATCGTTCGGTGTCAATAATTGATGCATTCCGATCGGAGTCCAATTGCAGCCTTCCCAAACGATACTATTCAAGGAACAGAGCAGAGCTCGTATATTTTTCTCTTTATTTTCGGTCCATTCGCCCACTTTTAGACGAATAGGATTGGCTCCTGCTTTAAGCTACATAAACAATAATTAGACAAATTAGCAAAACATTCACAAAGATAGATTACCATTTCTGCTTTTCGAATTTGAGCCATAGTTTTAGTTGTATTGCTTTCTGGATTGGATTTTTTGAAACCACATAGAAGATCTTCAAATTCATTGCCATTAACCCGAGGTGTTTTCAGCCCGGTTCTTGAAAAGATATCATCAAAATTATGACGACTATAATCGGGTCGAGTTTGTTTTGTTTGATCAGTTTTTGTTGTACTTTTGTTCGTTTTTGTATCATCAGGAAAATCATTACAAGAAGAAACACGAGGTATTGACGATACTGGAATTGACGATTGATTACAATGATTAGTTTCGCTGGAAAAATTCAGATAATCACCGAGATCACCGAAAGGATCAAAAGTGGTAGCTAGATTTGGTGTTGATGGATTTTTTGATTTTAGATTATTACCCATCTTCGAAATGTCATTGATAATTGTGGGATTAAATTGTGATGCGTTTGTTGGAAACACTAATTTATCGTCAAGATCGGGCGATTGATCCATGCTGAGCAGGTCATCTGTTGTCAATTTTGAATAAGTATTGAATTCCTTATTATTACTGAATAAATCAATTTTAGGTGAGTTTAATAAATCATCGGAAAATTTGTTCTGTTCGTTTTTGCTGATTGATTCTCCAAAACTTAAATTAACCAATAAATCAGTTTTTTCTTCACTACTCAATTCATTTTTAATTTCATTGCACTGTTCCAATAGGTCAACATTGTTCATTTTCATATTAAGAAAATCAATATTATTTGTAGCGTTTGATTTTTCCGTGTCAACCAATCTGAAATAAAAGTTCGTGAGTAATGTTATATACAAATGTTTTCAGATGAAACTTACAATGTTTGACTATAAACATCAGCCTTAATTTCATGAGGACTCTCTTTCATAACAGCAGAGTTGATTTCAAGAAATTCTTCATGTTCCCTATTATCGACAAATACACATTCTGGTTTATCGATCAACAATATCTCTAATTCGCTAATTTCAGATTGAAATTGCTGTTTGTTGACAATGTCAGCTTGAATTCCGTTTGGAGTAATTTCATAATCAATTTCAATTTTGAAATCAAATGGAAACCTATCCAGCTCTTCAGTATGATCCAAATCGGTCAAATTGAATTCAATTTTATATTGGCCATCATGATTATCATTTTCAAAAAATAAATTGCATTGTAAGGATGTTATTCTGATGGCAGTCGGTTTTTGTTGATTCAACATTTTCGAACCAATCGTTGATCGTGCATGCGAGATGACAAGGTATAGATCAGAAGTTATATCAAAAGTAACGTTAACATCACGCCAAATCACAAGTTCATTAATCCCTTTTGTATAATGGATCAATTTCTCATAATCGGTGAAGGTTGAATAGATTTTTGAAGATAGATTCGAGTATAATTCAACAAAGGGTCTACATCCATCGCGTATCTTGGTGAATAATGGTATGCCAACCATTTTAATTGATTTAATTACCACTTGTTTTTTCATTGAAAAGAAATTTAAATATTTTTCTTTCTTGAGCTTTGTTATATAATTAAGATATCGATGCTGAGATGATGTAAGTTCAACAGGATTCCGCTTCAATAGGAAAAACTTATGAGCTTGATGATAATCACGAAATAGTCCAATCAAAACCAAAAATGATATGGTCAACATTGAGGAATTGTTTTTGCCATCCTAAAAAAAGTAAAAAATCAAAAATGATTAATAAACATTTAAAACAAACAAGACCAACAAAAAAAACTCACCATACAATGGATGACAATCGTATGACGATCATTCTGATTCATCCATTTAAATATATGATCGCATAATGAGATAATTGAAATTAATGGGGCAACTCTTTTTGGATCTTTCCAATCAGTTCCACCATCAATGACTTTAATTTTTGGACCAAATTTCACCGTACCATCATATGAACGTCCACTAACATTGATCACACAATATGGAGCATCACGAGATTCAAGAACAGCCCGTACATCATCAATATGATTTCTGTAAGCAGATTCTAGCCCTTCAGCTGGATAAGACATGACTAGCAGACGAGATGTATAAAATGTCATGTCTAAATCTTGTCTAGCTATAGAATTTTGAACAGTTTGCATGACTTTGTTTGATGTATCTTTTATGTATCTAGTAAAACCGGCAAAATATGATTGCGCTATACCGGGTACTGGGACAGTGGATTGCAAATTCGCTAATGCTGGTTGTTCAGCGATCGGTGACATTTTCGTTGAATGAGGAGGAATTTTCGGCATAATACATGGAGAATTCAGATCAACAAAGTTTTCGTCCATTCGTTTGAGTATAGTTGAACAATCGATTCGATCAGCTGGATTCACTTGCAAACATTGTCTGAATGAGAAATAAAACATAAACATTAGAATTGTGGAAATATCGTTAGGACCAACAACAGGTATTACTTGATCATATCTATTATCGTTTCTTGATGGTTGACTGATGATGGAATCGAATATTTACAATTAATGATACGTAATTTAGATGAATCTTCAAATGGATGTTGACCAAAACGGATACAGAAAATCAAACAACCTAGCGCCCAGATATCCATCGATGTATTAATCTCATAATGAAGATATGTATCGAGAATTTCTGGAGGTCGATACATTGGTGTAGTATGACGATTCATCTAAAATACCATTGGAAATGAGATGAAAAAAACATTGATTATAAATAATCAATAACTTACTTCGTCTTCTAACAATGATCGTTGAATTGGTGTCCAATTATGATCAGGTTTATATGATTTATCAGTTGCTGAACCAAAATCACATAGCTTCACGAAGCCATTAGAATCAAATAGAATGTTTTCAATTTTAACATCACGATGAATGATATTCATTAGATGAAGTTTTTCTAAGCCCAGTGTAATTTGATAAATAACACGATTCAACAGTTGTTTATCGGCAATCGGTAAATTCACGTCTTTCAATGATCCAGAACCACAATGTTCACTAGAAAAAAACAAATGCGGAATTAAACAAAGTTTTAGTTAAGAACAAAAAAACTTCTTACCATAAAAGATAATAAACATTGGATTTGATGATACTGTAGCCATAGAATTCCATAATATGTCGATGAGTTTGTATACGTTCAAGTATAGCGATTTCATTTTCAATCTCTTTTTTTGATTCATTATCCGAAGAGATCATTCGTTTGACAGCATAAAGTTTGGACGTTTTAAGATCTTTTGCTTGGAAAACATAGCCAAATCCACCTGCAAAAAAAAGAAAAATAAAGATGTGATTAGAATATTCAATATTGTAATATTGAATATAGAAAAAAATAACCTTCTGCAATCAACAATTCAAGACGTAGATGAAAATTTCCAACGTCAACAATATCGCCAACGAAAGGATTGACTAAACAATTTTCATTACCAGATGTTGTTGTTGTTGTCGACGATGTAGCCACCGTTGCCAATGTCGATGATGATGATGATGAAAGGCCTAAATTTCGAAACAATTCATTCATTTTTTTTTCTATAACATTTGAAGATTTTGATAGATTAAAATGGTCAAGCAAATATGGATTTCAAATGATGATGATGAAGAGTAAAAAAAATGATGATGATGAATCTATCACAATTTTTATGAAATATAGAAGAATTCAAATTAAAAGAAAGAAGAAAATATCGTCAAAGATAGAATCAAATCATTTGATGGGAGAAACAATTATGGAGAAAAACAAAAGAAGAGAAAGATAAAGAGAGATTAAAAAAAAAAATAACAACAACAATGATTGAACGAATGAATGAATGAATGAAGGCAGCTGGTGGAACGAACGGACAAACTTTTTTTTTTTTTTGTCAACAGCTATCCATCCATCATCATCATCATCATAATAATCATTATCAACAACAATCCGCCTTCTCGTATCAAAATATACATACGAATGTTAACTCACATTCAATAATTGTAGCGCCATCTTATATTGGATATTGTTATTAAAAAAAAAACGAATCCATTTGAGAATCCAGAATTTTATTTTTATTATGTGAAAATTTTTAATTATAAATTTAAAATAAAATAAAATAAAAAATCATTTATAGCTTTTTTTAGTTATTTTGTTAATTAGAATAATAATATTTTTTTTTTGTTTATAAATACAAAGAAATTGGATAATTTTTTTTTTCTTTTTGATTCAATTCTTCTTTATATATTGCACAATAATCAATTTGCGATTTACATGGTAGTGCAAATATGTGTGTGTGTGTGTGTGTGTGTAAAAAATTAAAGAATAAATAAAGTTATAATAAAAAAGGATTTGATTATAAACAATTGATGATGATGGCCAATTTCAAACAATAAAAAAAAAAAACATATCAATTCATCCATTTACGACAATTAGCAGCACCGCATAGACATGGAATTTTATGTTGATCATCTTCAACATCAAATTTGTAATCATATGTAAGCTGTTTGTATAGGAAAAAATCAATAATTTTTATAAAAATTTAATTTTAAGAAAAAAAAAATTATCACTTACCTCTTCGCCTTTTTGAATTTTACGATTAGCAATAATTAGAATTTTAATCTCTCGATCAATTTGAACACAATCGGTAACACAATTAGGATCACATGAATGATTCACATAGCGAGCAAGGCCACCTTGAAGTGTTGCATCAATTATACGATTATCATCTAATCGAAACATATAGATTCCACGATTCTGTTGGTAATACAAGTAAATAGTGGTGAGCATTAAAAAAAAACTTTAATCACAATGAAACTTACCTGTTCTTCATAAATTCTTTCGTTACGATCGGCAATATGATTCCGAATTATTAGGCCAGTATATTCAATGATCATAGTATGTTTTTCAATATCTTTTTTAGCATAAAGACCAAGACCTTGAATTCGTGAACGTCCAAGTGAAACATTATTACGCCAATCTTGTTTCATTTTTCTATACTGTGATACTTTGGATGGTGCAAATGGTTTAACATATGGTGATGAACAATCGGAATTTGTCAATGGAGATGGCAATGTTGATGATCGATGATGAGGGACACTAGTAGATGAAACATGTAAAGTATGAGGTCGTTTATAATGGAATCGTTTGAATGGTTCAGATCGGGCACATCCACTTGGATTTATAGCCAATGGTAATTCATACCATGGTGAACGCCCGTAACGTAATTTATAATCATCAAGTGTATCAATGCCCGGCAATGATTCTAATATACGAATAATCGATGGTTCTTTTAGGCCGAACAAATCTTCACCAGTAACGAAATCAAAAAATACTTTGATCGTTTGGGCTTCTTCACGTAGAATGACTATAGAATTGATTATTTTTTCCCATGCTAATTTAGGCGTACATGCTTCATACGTGATAGTTTCATAACCTTCTTCTTTGACTTCGATAAAGAACATTGGCTTTCCATCACGTTCACCAATCGAACAAATATACTGGCAACGTTTACCAAGATGTCGTGGACTCCAATAAAATCTTGATACTTTATATCCAATCGGATAGATACAAGTTTCCGTATGAAAATTTTGTAATTGATGTGGCAATAATTGACCAATATTAAGAAATATTAAACTTCCAATTCTCATCAAGTTATTATCACCTTGATGTAACATAGCAGCAATCTGTTTTTGTTCATCACGATTAATATATACTTTACGATTGACAACAAATGAATTCATTTCTTCAGCATTCAAAAATGGCATTCCTTTTGATGAATGTGTTGGACAAAACAATGTTTTATCTGTATAGAATACACATTTTTCTTTGATAGCACATGGAAAATGATAAGAATTATTACATCGTAATCGAAAACATTTGATTGAAGCACCGAATTTCGTACATTTAACACAAACAGAATTCATAGCACGTTTATATGCTTGATCTACATTCATCAATGCACCGTTACACATTTCATATACTTCATATGACCATAAAGCACAATTCAAATGAACCCATTTATCAACATCCATATTTAGTAATCTGGATGGACCATCAGCAATACCATCGCCTAATTCATGGCAAAAAATACATTGTCGCTTCTCTTGACTATTACGATTTGGTTTCAAACAAATTTCCAAACGATCCAATAACTCTTCCACTGATTCATATTTATCATCATTATCTTCGGTCTGTTCCAATTTAATGTTGGATTCATTCTTGTTGAATGAATCATTTGTCCAGTATAAATATCGTGTATTTTTCCAATGTTTTTCATGTATACTGATAATGGATTCGATATCCGTGCCAGGTTCACTATCATTAATATTGTTAATAACGTTGTTTTGACTATTGCTATTGCTGAATATTGAAAGCAATTCTGGTTCAGCAATATCCATATGTTCATCATCATTAATACTATCTTCATGTTTTATTATTGGATTGTAATTATTAGCATCTTTGAGTTTCATGTTGGTCAATGCATAATTTTTGAAACATTCTTTATTACAAAATTGATCATCATCCATCAGATCTAAACCATGATCTAATGATCGATCATCATTGGCCTTATAGCTTTGTTGTTGATTTTCTATGGTACAATGACAAAATTTACAACAATGATTTATTGAATTATTGTTGTTGGCGAAAATTTCTATCACTTCTGTTGTGGTTGAATTTGGTGATTTTTCTACATTATAACTAAATGTTGATTTTAATTTCAATAATCTTGCCAATGCTTCCATCACTTCTTTGATATTATGTTTAGGATTAATCATCAAAGTGATTTCCACTTGTGCATTTCCCGATTCTTTTAATGGTCCTTGTTGTTGATGGCCATATTTGTTGTTAATTAATGATGATTTTGTTTTTGATGAATAATTATCATCTTTGTCCACATCAAATTTATTCTCTTTATTGTTTTCACTATCAGAATATAGCGGTAAAAATGTTAGAAATGGTGATTTTCGATCTTCATCACAATCACCATCATCAAGATCAACATCAGAATCATCATTAATATATTTCATTCGATTATATTCATCTTTTGGATGATTATAAAGCATACATTCTGGTGATGATGCTGAAACTATAGTTTCTGGGCTATCAATATCTCGTGAATAAAGCGAAAATGATTCATTTTTTATCTCTTTCTGTACTGAAAATGATTCTTTCCATGGTTGATCTTTATAACAATCAAGAATAGACCGGCCAAATTCTTCTTGATAATAGCCAACTTTTGTAGTGGAATTCATATGAATTGAATTTGGTGCCATAATTGGTGTTGGTTTATTCGGTCCAAAAGGATAGTATGAATAGTAATCGATTTGAGATGGCAGAAAGGCACTACCATAGCATCCTTTTAATTGTGTTTTTTTAACATTAAGTCCAGCTACTGAATCCGGTGGAAGACAAACATTCATGTTGACTTGAACATCAGGCTCATCAATCTGTACAATCGGTAATGTTCGAATATGATTGATGATTGATGTGAGAATTTTCTCATTGCTAGTTAGTGAATCATTTGAATTATCATCACCTTTGGTTTGAGAACCTTTTCGTTGACGTTTTTTCGTTTTGATCGTTGTAGTTGAATTGTTCGAATTGGTATTATTTGAGCCAACGTTTGTCGCTACCTCTTGGTTGGAATCACCATCATTACTTTTTTGACTTTCTTTACGTTTAACGGTTCGTTTACGTTTTGGTTTATCTTCAGGTGGTGGTGTTGGTTCACGTTCAAGTTGAGCACGTCTTATGTCTAAATAGCTTGGTTTTTTTACTACCACAGGGGTGGTGGTAGGCGTGTTGGGAGTATCATTGTTTGTCTGTGTGACAGCAGGAGTAGTAGCGTTTTCCACAACAGGTGTTGATGATATGGTTGATTCTTTAGTAGTTTCATTTTCGATTAAAGTCGTTGGCATTTTATCCATTTCAGTAGTGGATTCATTAAGAATTTCAGAAGAATTGGGTAAAGATTCAATTTCCTTTTGGCCAGATGAACTTGAACTCTGCTGCTGTTGCTCTTGTTGTTGTTGCTGCTGTTGCTGGTTATCAGCAGTTGTTATTGATTCATTTGATTGATTTTTTTTCTGTTGATTTAATAATGCCATAGATTTAAGATGATCAGCTGATGGACAATTTTGTAAAAGTTTTTTTAATAATGCATTCTGTTTGATTGAACATGCATCCGATGACTGCTGCTGCTGCTGCTGCTGTAAACGATTAATAGATGAATCTGATTGAATTTGATCCACTGAAGAAGTAGCTGGATCGCTTATGGTTTCTGAATGGTTTGAGCTAGCATCATTCCGATCACCAACATGAATATGATCAGATGATGTTTGAAATGAATTATCACTTGTGGGTGCTGTATGAATGACGTTTTCTGAATTTGGATTATCAGATAATGACGGCTGATTCGAATCTAATTGCACATTATTGTCACCTGGCAGAACTTCTTGTTGCTGTTCTGGCTGTTCTACTTGTTGTTGTTGTGCTTTATTCTCAGAAGTCGTTTCTTTAAGAAATGTAAACGGATCAGATTCATTATCTACTCCATTACCTTGTTCAGAAATAGTGAATTCTATAGTTGTTTCAGCTTCGCCTACAATGGGCGTCATTGGTGGTGGTATAGAATCCATCATTGAATTCATCTGTTGATATGAATCACGTGTTGATTGAGGTTGTGGCATTATCATATGAGAGTCTTGATAATGTGAGGTTGGCTGCATGTTCATCGGCGGACATGGGTCCATTGATTGTGAAGATGGAGGTGGAACTGAATTTCGCATTTGCATTCGAAGTTGAGAATTTGGCTGTGGATGTTGTTGAGCTGAACGATAACCGCCAACAGGTGATACAGAAGTAGAACAATAAACCGGATGTTGTTGTTGTTGTTGCATAGGTGGTTGTTGAGGATTTCCAGGGTAAGGTGGAGGTGGGGGTCTACGTATTTGCTGTTGATAAGTAATTGGTTGTTGTTGTGATTGTTGACCTGTTGCGGCAAAATGAGTGTTGATGCCGGATAGATTTCCACTACCACTGGGGCCTGGAAATCGTTGTGGATAATTTTGAGGTGGTGGAAATGAATTTCTCGGAGCCATTTGTGAAGACTGATTCATCGATTGATATGGAGATTGACCAGGATGTTGATAATACTGTTGCTGCTGTTGTTGTTGTGTCTGTTGACCATCATCAAATCCTGATTGATACTGTTGATACATTGACGATTGTTGCTGTTTCTTTTCTTTTTGTAAATACACATCAGAAAATGGATTATTGTCATCCTGAACAATCTGTGGACGAATAGGCATTCCAGTAGGTGTTACGATCATTGATGATGCATCGGGATTATTAATGGTCATCGGTGATTGTGGCATTGCTGTTGACAACGATGCTGGAGAATGTAAACTAGACATTGGAGAATTCTGCATCAATGATGATGGAGATTGACTAGTTAACGATGGTGATTGTGGTGTCGATGGGCATATTCCTAGCGGTGTTCCTGGACCAGATGTGCTCAAAGCAGCTAAAGGTGAATTTACCGACCGTGGTGGTGTTTGTGTCCGAGCACTAGGCGAATGAGGTAATGAAGCATTATTAGTTGATTTCCGTTTATCCTGTAGAGCATTATTTTGTTTATTATATTTTCGAACATGATCCAATTGTTTTTGTAATTCATGAATTCGTTGAGTAACACGTGCTAATTCTTCAGCATCAGCATCATTTAGTTCGGTTTGATTCTTTCGACATTGACGTTGCCTTGCATTCAATGATTTTTTCGTCTTTCGCATCTGTGCTATATCTGTTTCGAGAATTTTTTGTCGTTGTATCATTGAATTTTGTTGCTGAGCTAAATCGTTGTATTCATCACCAACAACACCGGCTACGGAAGAAACATTCGGCATTTGTGGTCGATGATGTTGCATCATATGCTGCTGCTGTTGTAACGGATGAGTATTTTGTGGTGGTTGTGATTGTTGCTGTAACATGATCCGTTGACCACCAGCTGGACCGGTATTAGAATACATTGGAGTCATATGTGGCCGTCCCATCATTCCTTGTGGATGTGGTGGTGGTTGTTGTAACATTCGAATATGCATCCGTTGTTGTTGTTGTTGTTGTGATGGTGGTTGCTGTTGATATGGTAATCGATTTTGTTGTGGCCATCCACCTGTATTTGGATTATATTGTTGTCGTTGCTGTGGATGCAACATTTGCGGTGGTGGTGGCTGTTGTTGTTGATGAGGAGCCATAGGATTCTGTATCTGCATCATTGAATTCGGTTGCATCATGCCAGGTTGTTGTTGTTGGACCTGTGGATATACATTTGGTTGTAATTGTTGTTGCATTTGACCATGAGAATGACCAGGCGGCGGTTGATGTTCCGATGAATCACTAAGGAAATCATTTTTTAATCGTTCAAAATCATCATCACTTAATAGAGAATCTGAACCAAAATATTGCGTCTGTTGTTGCTGCTGCTGCTGTTGTTGTTGTTGTTGTTGTGATTCTGGTCTGACCATTCGTGGTGGTTGCTGTTGTTGTTGTTGTTGTTGTGGGGGCTGCTGCTGTAGCTGCGTTTGTTGTTGTCGTTGATGGAATGGAACTGTTGTCGAAGAATGAGCTTGTTGTTGTTGTTGTTGCTGATCTACATTTTCATTCTTTGTAATATCAATGGAATTTTTTCTCTCAGATGGATTCTGAGTTTTATCTTTATTTTCACTGGAAAGCATATCATCTTTTTCATCCAATTCATCGAAAATGTTACTTTTACCATCTACACTGGCATCTGGATCAGCATATTCTAAAATGTTAAAATCATTACCAAGCTGTAACAGTTCATCATCATCAACAGCTAAAGAATCGACACAAGTTTCTTCCACGGTTTCTACTACACCGCTAATCGCTGTTGATGGTGGTGGTTGTGATTTCAACATTTCTACATCATGATGAGACATTTCTGATTTAATATTAGATGATGATGGTAATGGCAATGGTTGCATTGAAACATTTGGTGCTGAAGATGATTGAGACATTGGAGATGGTGGGGGTGGTACAACGTGAGAATGTGGATTCATCGGTGGAGCTGGTCCACCACCACTATTCCATTGCTGCTGTTGTTGTCTGGGATTTCCAAGTTGCTGTTGTGATGAAAATCGTACACCAAACTGTTGTTGCTGTGATGACGTATTTGGTGATTGTTGTTGTTGTTGTTGTTGCTGTTGATGAGGAAATCGAATCAAATCGGGTCGATGTTGCTGTAATCCTGGAGCAACCATAGTCATTGTTCGTTGTTGTTGTTGAGAATTATCGATATTTGATCTGAATCGAAAATTTTGTTGCTGATGATTTTGATCTAATGGATATGGCTGTTGCTGTTGTTGTTGTTGCTGCTGAATAGGTATTCGAGGACGAGCCATAGCTGGTGACATTGGTTGTCGAAAATTATTGAGTGTTTGTTGTTGATCCGACCACATTGGTGGCCGTTGTTGCTGTTGTGGTAATTTAGAAGATGCAGATGGTGATGAATCAGCTCGACGCATCTGATGAACTTGAAGCAAGTTTCGAAGATGTTGTTTGTTATTACCATCATTCTCATCTATTTTAGGTGGTTGATTATATTGTGAACGAATCGTATTTACAGACATACCAGTGGTATTATATGGATCAGATAAGGCACGACGTATCATTGGGGGTGCGGGTTGTTGTTGTTGAGGTGGAGGTGGAGGACGATGAATCGAAGGTCCTGGTCTCATCATCTGAACTTTGATACCAGTATCTGCTTGGCAAGTTACTGGGCTATTCATGTTATTATATGAATCATTTTGATAAGGATTCTGTTGCTGTTGTTGTTGTTGTGGCATGTATTGCGGTGAATAAGCGGTTGTTTGATGTTGAGGATTGTTGGAAGCATAAATTTGATCAGATCGTGGCTGTTTATGTTGTTGTTGTCCAAAACTCTCATCAAATGAATGGCCACGCATCGGTTGATTGGATGGAACTGGATTGCTGCTAACAGTTACTGGTCGTGGCGACCGTGCATATATCATTGAATTATCTGGTACATTGCTTAACGGAGATTGTTGAGCCAATTGAGCAGGCGATTGAGGTTGTGGTGTTGAAGGAGCCATCGATGATTGATGCTGTTGCATTTGACCATATGGTGATGATGATGAATCAGGAGTTAACGGTGCTATAGGTTGTGTTACACTGGGTGGCATCGATGCATAAGGATCTTGTGGATGTGGTGTTCCAGGCTGATGATGACCAGATGGTGAAAATGGCGTTCGTACAGGTGTAGTATATGGGTTAGGTGTCGAAGGTTGTTGTACGTAAGGCGATGGATGTGGTTGTTGAAGATCGGCACTTTGTGGTCGTTGACCAGGTGACATTGATTGATATTGGCATTGGTCAGATGGATGTGATGGAATATTAGGTGATGATTGATGACTGGGTGAAAATGGTGGTCGAATCATGTGTTGCGGTGTTATTGTAGGCTGTTGTTGTTGTTGTTGTTGTGGATAACCACCCACTACATCTGTACCACTTGTAAAAGGTCTTAAACGAGGAGAATGCATAATTGGACTCATGGGATGCGGATGATGAAGGGGCGATTGCTGTTGATTAGCTACAGGTGGTTGTTGTTGTTGTTGCTGTTGTTGCATCATTTGATTTGGTGACATTTGAGACATTGGTCCAATGGGTGGTGAAGCATACATTTTGGTATGATAATCACCGCCGCTGTTGGACGGATTACCATGTGGTGGTAGTGGTGGTGGATATCCACTTCCGCTCATTTCATTGGTTTGACTAGACATTGGATTATTCATAATCATTACATCTTGTTGTTGTGATTTCCATTGTTTATCGGCTTCCATCTTTTTATTATTGTTTCCACTATTGTCCGTATTTATTTTATTGATCATTTCTGCTTGATTCTTTTTCTGTGCAGAACGATTATCACGTGCCATTTGTAACCATGGTTGTCGTTGTTCAGTAGATAATTGACGCCAAATTTTATGTATCTGTTTCAAACGATTAGACCATTCAGGAAATTCATGTTTCAAGCTTGGATGATTAATATTAGCATAAAGTACAGCTGATATTGTGGCATATCGACCTAAAGCTTCTTCTGCTTCCCATTTCACATAATTCTTCTGACCTTGTGATGTAGTCTCTGTATCTTGTTCCGATGAAACATTTATATTAGAAGCCATTTGTTGTTGCATTGGATAATAATTATCTGTATGAGGAGGTGGTTGTTGTTGTTGCTGTTGATGGCAACGAGGTTTCGATGACATTTTAAAAGGTGGTGGTGGCCCATTTGGAACTATTGTATGATTATTAACAGGAGGAGGAAGTGGATGATGTGTAGGAAGACTGTCAAATGTATTTGAAAATTGTTGATGAATATTGGACAATGAATCATTACTTATTGGCGTTACAGGCGCGGATGATTCCGATAAATCGGATTTTGTCGATGAATGCATCATAGACATATCTGGTTGTTCAAGATTTGGTCTAACAATAGGATTCATTTGTGGTGGTGGATTATGTATCATTTCAGGAGTCATGGCTTGTTGTTGAGATGTAATAGGAACATGAAGTGTTGGATGTGGAGCTGTTGGTGTTTCGACTACTACTTGTGGTGGTGGTGGTACAACAACATCTGATAATGAATCTGGTAATGAATTATTTGACATGACAAGAAAATCTTCAACATCTTTACTGTTCATCTGAGGTAACCCATCATCAAAATTAAATCCAGGATCCAGGATATCATCCATAGTAGTTATTTTGGTTTGGCTAGAAACTACAACATCATCTGATTTGTTTACAATGACATTATCATCACCAACAGTGACAACTTCATCGTTAACAGTAGGATCACCAGCAGATAATTCATTAAGCAATTCATTTTCATCATTGAACATTTCGACAAATGCGTCCACAGGAGACATTAAATCATCGACTGCAAAATTTTCATCGAAAAAGTTGAGATCATCATTGTTTTTTGCATTGTTTTGCGTTCCAGTCGACGATGCATTTGTTTTGTTTTCTGCAAAGCCTAGATCTAATGAATTCAAATCAACGATAGCATCTTTTCCTATTAAATTTTGTTCATCAATTTCATTATCTTCATCATTTGATTCTTTTTCATCAAACATTTCTTCTGCTGATTTATTCGCACTCGGATTCACTGAGGTAGATGAAGATGCTGAAGTGGTAATAACATCAAGCAATTCTTTACCAAAAAATGCCTCTTGTAAATAACTTGGATATTGATCTTGCAATTGATTTTTCTTTTTATTCATTCTACGACGTCTACGTCGACTACCTTCACCAGCAGGATTTTCAGGTGTCGTAGATCTTGATTCATTATTATCTTGACTTGTTTCATCATCATCTTTATTGAAATTAAAACGGCCACGTTGTTTAATAAGAAAACCACCAATGCCTAATTTATCGAGCCGTAAACGTCGTAATCGTTTTTTCTTTTCTTCTTCACTTTCATTATCGTTGGATGGTCCATTTTCAGTGATGTCCTGATCTTTAGTACCACCATTGGAAACTTGTTGCTCATCTTGTTGTTGTTGTTGATCATCTTTATTCTTGCGTTTAGTTCGTGTCTTTTTCGGTTGTTCAATTGCTTGTGATTTAATCATAGCCAACCCGGTTTCCGAAAGATAGACACCATCGACCAAATGATATTTTGATAGAAATTTAACTGCATTTGTTTGACAATTTAAATCTTCACGATTATTTGAATCACCATCTAAACCACTGGGAATTTCTTTCTGTTGCTGCTGTTGTTCACTTTTCTTCATCAATTCAAGATCATTTCGTTCTTCGGCACGTTTTTTATTGAATATAGATCTCAATGTCCCATTTTTACGGGCTAAAAAGACAGGATTTAGATAAAACTTACTTTCAATAATTGACATACCTTGAATATGTGGAGGTGGTTCATTGGTTGGACGGCAATTAAGGCATTGATAGCCAATACTGGATGCTATCTCACATTCATTTTCGTCAAACATGGAATCACATTTAGAATGTAGCCATCTGTTTATATGACAAAAATCAAAATTAATTTTTCTTCAAAATTGATTGATACAAACCGTTGACATTGTATACATTGAATAATCAAATCATTTTCATCATAATTTGATTTACAGGATGAACATTTCTTCTGACTAGCGCATGGTCCACATAAAGTATAATTCTCTTGCCATTGAGATCGATAACCAGGCGATGTTGAACGACAATTCGTACAAATGGCACACCATTGACATTTCCAGGTTCCTTGTGGAACTTCTTCAAGTGGAGGATCCAGACAATAGGTGTGATAGCTGATATCACAATCATCACACAAAAGAAGCCTAGAATCATCGGTTGCTTTCCCACAACCTTCACATACAGTACATTCGAGACATCGCCAACCTTTATTGAGCATTGTTTTTGTCACTTTGGTTGGTTGATTATCTTGAGCACAAAACAAATGATAACATTGGCCACATTGAGCACAAGCAATAAGGCGTCCTTCATCACCTTGACCTAAACTTCCACAATTAACGCAAACATCTTGACTTAATACAAAATGATCTTTGCTTGAGCAAAGAATGATTTTATTCTCGATACCGGAATCATCTTGGCTATTATCGATAGTTGTTATGACATTAGTTAAATTGGAAGAAGTGGTTGCAGTGGTAGACTGATAACCAGCACCAGCACTACCAGCAGGACCATTGAATAAAGAATACGCAGAAGATGATGATAATGCTACGGTCGAGAATGTTTTGAATTTGCCTTTCGGCCCACGTTTTTTTCGATATTCAATTGTTTTATTTCGTCGACTGCCGCTCAATTTTCCTTTAATTTTACCTGGAAGATTAAGTTTCTTTTTAGCTGTGACTATTTTCTCTTCTGAATTCAAAGGAGTCATAGGGGCAGCAGTTTCCACCATATTCATAACAGTGGATGGATCATTCTCAATTGATGGAGCAGTGAATGATATGATTGATGATTCAGTTGTAACAGATGTTTCGGGTATTAATTCTAATGATGATATCTCTGGATCGCCAATAGTGGCAGTAGAGTCCAATGGATTCGATACTATTAGCTCGCCACTATCGGTAATGTTTGGTTCATTTATTGATGTTGATTCAACCGATGTCGATGATAAGATAGATTTTTGTTCTGATTGTTGTTGTTGCTGTTTCGGAACTAAATTCTCTTCTTGATTTGTAGTCGATTCCTGTTTGATCATTGTCATTGATGAATTGTTGTCAGAAAAATTTAAAATCAGATTCTGAGCAAATTTTCTTTTAGGACGATTATTTCGACCTGGTCGACCAGGAAATAGATTTTTTGCATGCATAGGCACTTTTCCATCTTTACGTAAACGTCCAGATGTTCGTTTTGTTGCTGTTGTCACTGATGATGACATTGCCGTGGATGTGGATGGACTAGTAGTATCTTCTTCAGATTTGAAAACAATTGATTTAGCATTTTCATCATCATCATCATCAACATGAATTTTATTCGTATGACAACTAGCAATAGTAGAAACTGATTGACTACTAGTCGGATTTTCATTTGAATCAATCACTTCGGATTTAATAGATATTCCAATTGCATCATCATCGGTAATCAAGGGTAAATCGGTTTCACTACATACTGAATCACCATCACCATCATCATCATCATCATCTGCATCATCATCATCACCATCACCATCATCATCGTCGTCGTCGTCGTCATCGACATCATCATTATTGTTCATTTCATTATCAAATGATTCTTCATCAGCCATATTTTTTTCATTCACATTGCTAATATCTTCATCATCATCATTATTTGTCTGAAATGTTTGATTGTTTGCTGGAAAAAAATTGATTTTTTTAAAACTCAATTGCAAAAAAAAAACAATCGAAAACAAAATCCAAACACATACCATTATAATTTAAATCAACAGAATCGTCCATGATGATTCTTGATGATGGTGGATTTTTTTGAACAAAAAAAAATTAAAACACGCAAAAAAATAAAACAAAAACCAATTGTTTATTCAAATTATCAATTGATTAAATGAATGAAATGAAAATTCAAATTCTAAGTCATCGTACACACACACACACACAGAGAAATTTACAAAAATTTCAAATTGTCAGACAAACAAAAATATACAGATGATGATAAAAAAAACAAGAATCGAATAATCAGATGATCATTGATACAAACAAAATAATAAACATTATGATCATTCAAAAAATATTGGTCGCGATTTTGTTGTTTGAATTTTCTTTTCCGATATTCCGCGGAATCCAAAATAAAATTCTTGAACGAATTATATTATATATTGATGTTAATCATTGAATAATGGTAAACATTGGATTCTAAATTGAATGATCAATAGTAAAAGTGGATTTTTTTCAAGATATATTATTCATCACTACATTCTACCATCATCATCATCATCATCATCATAATAATCAATGGTACAAAAAGGAATATTTTATTTTTTTTTTTAATAAAAAACGGCGCACAACAAATCAAGATAGCGAAAGTGCTGCTGCTGCTGCTGCTCAATATATTAAAAAAAAATAAAAATAATTTCGCGAGATTCCAAAATGCCGAGAGTGTAGCCTAGCAGCAGCATTGTATTATAAAATACTCAATCAAACATACACACACACACACACACAAACACATACAATCCGAATTCATGGACAGCTAGTCTGGTTTTACACACACACACACACTTGTCAGCCAATATCGTGGATTGTGTGTGTGTGTCTATTTTATTTTGGACACTATTTCGAACCTAATTGGATTCTTTTTTTTTTTTTTTTTGATTCTTTCATTTTTTTTTTCTAACATCATTGATCATCACATGTTAAACACATTTTTTTTTTATTTTTGAAAATTTCAATATTCAATAAAATGGAAATTTTATCCGAATCCGGTATACGTGCTGATGGCCGCCGTTCAAATGAAACACGACATGTGAATTGTAAATTGGCCGTATTCGAACAAGCAGATGGATCAGCATATTTTGAAATTGGTAATACAAAAGTTTTGGCCGCCGTTTATGGACCACATGAATTAAGTGAACAAAATAAGAATAAATCCATACATGATCGTGCTATTATTAATTGTCAATATTCAATGGCAACATTTAGTACATCGGAACGTAAATCCCGTCCAAGAGGTGATTTTCGTTCATTGGAAATAAATGCCTATTTGAATGAAATATTTGAAACCGTTATTATTACTGAACTTTATCCACATTCACAAATCGATATCTATTTAGAAGTATTACAATCAGATGGTAGTAATTATAGTGCATGTGTTAATGCAGCATCATTGGCATTGATTCATGCCGGTATACCTATTAAAGATATTATCTGTTCTTGTTCAGCTGGTTATTATAATAATGTTTCATTGGTCGATCTAAATTATTTGGAAGAATCAATTCATTCTATACCAACCATATGTATAGCATTGTTACCGAAATCCAAACAAACCGTATCGATTGAATCAAATGGCCGAATAAATGTAGATTCATTGGAAAAATTAATTGAAAATGTAATCGATGGTTGTATGCAAATATTGGCAGCAATGAAAACTGTTGCATCTGATTATATTAAAGAATTGAATGTATGAAATTTATTATTATTTTTATGTATTGTAATTTTATTATTACAAATTACAAAAGTAATTAAAAAGATGTTTTTTTCATTCATCTGTATTTTTTTTTTTTTTCATTTCATTTTCGTTCCTTTTCTTTTTTTGCTGCTTCAGCTTTTTGTGCTTCTTCTTTTTCATAAGTTTTTATATATTCCAATGTTTCCGATGATGGTAATATACGAATTTTTGTTTTTCCATTCTCTCTAGTGAGTGTTACAATTTCAACTGAATGAAACAAAATAAAAAATGAATTGATTGATTTAGATTGATTTAGAATATATGATCGATTGTTGGTTGTACTTACTTTTATCTTCGGTCAATTTTGTTGTATCCAATGTTTTACTCAAAACTCGAATGGTCAATTGTAGTGCCTGTTTCAAATTGGTTTCACCTTCTTTGTATTCTTGTTTCAACAAAGCAACAGCAGCACTGCTATTGTTACCGATACATGTGGCTTTCCATCCAGAATAATTACCACTTGGATCTGATTGATATAGCTGAAATCCATAATGTTTATCCCAACCCATATAGAGAACGGATACACCAAACGGACGTTTACCACCATATTGAGTGTAAGCTTGTTTTATATCGCAAAGCCAGCTAACGATTCGTTCACAAGGTATACTTTCACCATATTGTAACAAATGACGTTGAGCAATCAATCGTAATTCATTTGTCAATACATTAGCATCGGATGTAATACCAGCTACGCTACAAGCCATGTCACTGTATGGAAATATCGACCGTTAATTATTATATTCAATATATAATTTATAAAAAACATACTCATGAAGTTTGTAAATTTTTTCTGAAGAAAAAACATCATCAAGAAGTTTATTTGGATTACGTTTTTCTGCAGCCAGAACAATACCATCGGATGCAAGAATTCCAAGACATGTACCAGCATGTTGAATTGCTTCCATTGCATATTCAACCTGATATAATCGACCTAAATTTCATCAAAAAAAAAAAAAAAAAAACAATCATTGTCAGAAATTTTCAAAAAAAAAAATTAATCGAACCTTCAGGTGAAAAAATTGTCGTTCTTGAATCATATCGACGAGCCTAAATTTTTCACACGAAAAAAATGAAAAATAAATCATTTTGGATTATTATTCATCAATTGAAAATAATTTAAGAGTATAAAAACAAACCATTTTTGGTAGAAGCGAGAAAATTCTATTGAAAAATTAATAAAAAAATTGACAAATCTCAATAACTTCAATATAAAACGATGTGATTAAATGAATCAGCAAAATAAGGCTATTTCAACCAAGCCGACAGGCTATTGTGTATTGGGCAAATTCGAAACAAAAAAATTCCGCGATCGATCACAAATGAACGGAAAAAATTATTTTATTAAAATAAATTTGCACACACCCACTAAATAGTATAAAGGAATAATGAAAGAGATCAATCAACAAATGATAAAATGAATAATAATAATAATAATAAATCGATCAACAATAAAATAATGACAAAATTCATCCAGAAAAGAAGAGCACCTTTGATAATAATAATTATGAGAATCGTGATCATTCAAATGGTAATAAAAAAAAATAATGATTTGTAGCTCATTTTGGCAGATTTTTTTTTCTTACAAAAAAAAATTATAATAATAATAAATCATTCAGATATGTAGCTCAATATCCATTGTTTAAATTTTGTTATTCTAGTACAAACACCGGGTAATGATGGTTCACCACAACCAATACCCCATGAAATAATACCGGCAAGAAACCAATGGCCATCTTCGGTTTGTACTTGTAATGGGCCACCACTATCACCTTGACATGAATCACGACCACCAGCATCATAACCGGCACACATAAATATATCTGGTATATATTCATGACGACCAGCCGATAGAAACATATTTTTACATCTATCATTGCTTATGATTGGTACACGTACTTCTTGCAATACTGTTGGTAAAACACCACCTAATTAAAAAAAACCAAAAATTAATGATCATCCACATTATAATAGATATAAATATAATTCAAACCTTCACTAAGTCTACCCCAACCAGTGACAGTGGCATTTTTACCCAATAAATCAATATCATCTGGTGGTAAACAAATAGGTGAAATATGTGGTAAAAAATCGATAGGATGTTCCAATTTTACTAAGGCTAAATCATTTTCATATGTAAAAAAATTATATTTTGGATGAACAATTTTCTTTTTAGCTCCACGTTCAATATGTGGAAATGGTTCACGAGAACTAGAGAAATCATATTCACCAACACGAATACGAATCTGGGTTAGTAGCAGGCTAATTAAAATAAAAAAAAAAAAAAAAAAGAGAGAAAAAGACAATTTTTTTTGTGTGTTATTGTCATGTTATTTTTATTTTGTTGAACAAAAAAAAGAAAGAAAGAAAGAATGGAATAATCATCATCATCATCGATGTGTGAGAAGTATATAGCAGTTCCACTTGTTGCACGATGATGATGACCTCGATCTTTTTTTTTCATTAATAACAAAAATACCAAAGACAAGGTCGAAGACAAGAAAAGAAAGTTGAAAGTTTAAAAAGCTTTCTATGTCAAATGATGATTGTGATCAGATCTCAGATTAAATTTATTTTAATAATAATAAAGAAATGATGATGAAAAAAAAAAATTTCAAATTTGTGGCGGTGAAATTTTTTTCTTTTTTTTCACACTTTATTATTATATTGTTGATATGCAAAGCAAAAAAAAAAAAAAACTCGAAAAAAAAACTTACTCATCAACACAATGACCGGCTGTAGCAATCCATTGATTGTTCAATAGGGCACCACCACAACGATGTGTACTTGAGAAACCAAAAAATGAAATTCGTCGTACAGAGACCTAGATATGAAGAGAAAAAAAAAACATTGGTTGATGATATGATTTTCTCATGAATGAATGAATGAAGATGATGATGATGATAATGATAATGATAATAATACCTGCCATGGCCATGCACCAAATGCTGAATTCATACCACCAACAACTTTTGTTCGTGGTCTCAGTTGAGTGATTCCACATTGTTGTTGATCTTTTTTTTTGCCATTTGTTCATTTCGTCGTTCATTTATATTCATAATTCAGTGGTTCAATGGACATATATTAAAAAAAAAGATAAGAGAAAATGAAGAGAAAATTAATTATTTTTTAAATAGTGTTAGTATTATATAAGATAGTTAAATATGATTATTATTATGATTACGATTATGAATGAATTATGGTTAAGCTATAAATTACGTTTGCCATTCAATGATGATGTTGTTATCGATAAAGGTGTCGTAAAATTGTTATCAATAACCGATAGCTGTGGTGGTGGTAATGTTGATGATGAATAATTTGATGTTTCATTATTACCGGCATTTTTCGTCGTCGTAATTTCCGTACTGTTATCTTTATCATTAGTGGCACTTGTTGTGGTGGTGGTGGTGGCCATGACTGTTGTTGTCAAATTCCAATGACCAATTCCAATAGATACAGGTTGATGACTTGTGATTGTAACCGATTGTGGTGGTTTAACAATGTTCCAAGAATTAGTATTGTTATTATTAATAACAGCAGTAGGTCTATTGATAGTAATGGGCCAAACGATTGCCGGTCTTTTGGTCGTAGTACCAGGACGACCAGTATAAATAATCCAAGGTTTTTGTGATGTTGTATATTGTTGTGGTTTATTTTGAAATGCTAATGTGGTTGAATGAACAGCAATAATTGGTGTTTCTGTTGTTGACTTGAATATATTAGTGGCTGTCGTTGTGTTGAATGAATTTGAATCTATCCATGGATTCTTTGTGGTTGTCGTCGAACTCCATGGCCGTAATTTATCTTTATTCGTTGACGATGATGGTGATGATGTAACGGGAAATTCATTTTGTATCGAATTCACGATATCATTATGACCACAACAGCTTCCAAATAGAAACCATCGGCACAAGTTCCAAGATGTTTACCTTCAGTTTTAATACATTCCCATACAAACATACAGGTTCCTTGGTCACCTATGGCATTTGTACATTGTTTTGGTCGAATTTTGAAACTTTCACCTTTCACAATGGACAGACAAAAAAAAAATTAACAATGATGAGGAAACTTTTTCATAAATAAACAAAAAAAAATAAAATACCTACCTATCCCTAAAAGTAAACTATACAATAATGATAATTGAATAAATTTAAACAAACTAAATGTAGTTTGTTTAAACATGGTGAGCATATGATTATTTCGAAAATTTTGATCATCATTTTCATTTTCATCATTGATAATAATAACAAATGAATTATATTGTCGTCCAGTGAATAAACAACAAACAAATGAATGTATACATAGATCGAAATGGGTGAAAATTTTTTTTATTAAAATATTTATTGATGATAAACATGTTGAAATAGAAATCCGGTCGTTCGATTTGAAAAAAAATTGAAATTGAAAACAGCAGCAGCAAAAAAAAAAAAAAATGTAATCGTCGACAAACACTCTCACTTATTATATATATACACTGTGATGATAAACAACAAATATGCACGGTAACAAGAAAAAAATGAATCACATTAAGATATATATATATGGATCACAGATATGATAATAAAATTCTGTCCATTCGGTTATGGATGTTATTGATGAATGATGATGATAATAAATGTATATATTGATGGGTAATAATTTTACCGGAAAAAAACATTATTGGTCATACAGAGCAAAAAAAGAGAACAGTGAAAAAGATTAAGTAACGAATGGCGCAAACACATTTAATGGCCATTGGTTCGATAAATTCTTGAATGATGACCGGCCAACATTCGACATTTGATTTGAATTTTTTTTTTTCAGGACAAAAGTAATTATTATTGTTATTGTTATTGTTGGCGGCTACTCTTTTTTTTCATTGTAATGACCATCATTATAATGGCCATGATGAATGATTATTTAACTTAAACTTCATCATCATCATCATCATTTTAATCACTAATAATGGAATGGCCACTACTAATTTTAGAATGATGACACATTCGAGACCAAGTTTTTGTCGGTAATGGTGGCGGTGTCTGAATGTCAAAAAAATTTTTTTTGAACTTCTTTCAATGGGGAAAAAATAAATAAATAAATAAATAAAAACTTGTCTCTTAGAATGATGTCGAGAGAAAGAGAAAAAGAAAGAGAGAGGTATATCTATCTCTTTATTTCTGGTCCGTTCTTGATTTCTATTTGTATTTGGTCAAAAATGGATTCGAAATTTTCAACAACGACAACGACGATGTCGACGACGATACCCACAATTCAATTCAATTTTTTTTTTTTTGATTTTCGATAGAAAGAGAATGGACAATTTGATACCATGAAGAAGAGACCAGATGACTGAGAGAGAGAGAGAAAGAAAGAAAGAAAGAACGATGGTGTAATGATTTCTCTATACTTAGAAAATAACAAACATCAAACACAGATGATGATGATCTGAAAAAATTTTTTTTTCATTTAAATTGAGCTTATATACCAAGGGGAGTGTTATATAAATTTAAAAAAAAAATTGGCCGCATGGATGAATCTATATCTTGTTTGACCGACTTTTTTTTTGCTGTTCATTTTGTTTGTTTGTTTGTTTATATTGGCCATCTATTAAACCAATCAATGCACAGCTAGAATTATCATTATATATCAACAGGTTGTATAGTACATGAAATGGACATACAAACACACACACACACACACACAAGCCACATCGATAAACGATGATGATTACTGTGTGTGTGTGTGTGTGTGTGTGATTATCGTTTGGTTTTTTCATTCATTCATTCAACAAATATTTCATCATGGTAAAGAATTGATAACGAATTAAGGATCCATTGTTGAAATGAAAATAGAAAATTGTCCGATCGATCAATCGATCGATCGATTATTATGGCCAATTAAATTGAAAACTAGGACATTCGGTAGATTTGAATGAAATTTTTTAAATTAAACAAAAAAATTGCCTGCATTTTAGTATGTTGGTATTTTTTCTTTCTATTCTTTTTTTTCCAGATCACATTGTCATGGCCAAAACAAAGATAAAGTTTGATGATTATATTCTCTCCCCACACACACACACACACACACACACAGACAGACAAAATGATTGAAAATAATGTGTGGTTTGAATATAATAGGAATATATTGGCAGAGCTATTTTGGCTGTATTTGCTATTTGTTTTGGTTGTGTTTTGGTTGTTTTGGGTTATTATCGCCGTTCACTATTACACCACCACCACTATGTGTGTAAAATGAATCCATTACATTATTACAATCATCATCATCATCATATTAATAATAATAAAAAGAGTGAGCAAGTGAGCGAGTATTTTCTATTTTTTTTTTTTTAATATCATTCCATAACATTATCAACAAAAAATTTCTCATCAATCATATCAATTTTTTTTTCTTTGCTCTGATTTTGTATTGTGTGTGTTTTTTATATCGACATTCCAAATCCAATTTAGTGGATCAATAGAAATTTCATGAACAAAAAAAAACAAAGATGATGAATATTGATTTTCCTGAATTAAAAAATGATACAATAATTCGTGCTGCATTTGGTGAGAAAACTTCATATGTACCAGTATGGGTTATGCGACAAGCTGGTAGATATTTACCAGAATTTCGTGAATTTCGTCAACATCATAGTTTCTTTGATATTTGTGAAACACCGGAATTAGCATGTGAAGCTACAATGTTACCGATTCGTCGTTATCCATCACTTGATGCTTCAATCATATTTTCCGATATATTAGTCATTCCAAAAGCATTGGGTATGGATGTTCAAATGGTTGAAGGTGTTGGTCCGGTTGTTGAAGCATTGGAAACACCATCACAAATTAAAACCAAAGTTCATATCGATAATAATATTGATACAGAATTGGATTATGTTTATAAAGCCATCACATTGACAAGACATACATTGGAAGGAAAAGTTCCATTGATTGGATTTGCAGGTGGTCCATTCACTTTGATGTCATACATGATCGAAGGACAAGGTTCAAAGACAATGTCAAAAGTGAAACGTTGGTTTTATCAGAATCCAATTGAAAGTCATCAATTATTAGAAATATTGACACAATCGATAATTACATTTCTTGTTGGTCAAGTAAAAGCCGGTGCACAAATGTTGCAGGTTTTCGAATCACATGCTGGTTATCTTGGATCCAAACAATTCGATGAATTCTGTTTACCATATTTGAATCGAATTAGCTGTGCAGTACGAGATAAATTACGTGAACAAAATCTTAACGATGTACCAATGGTATTGTTTGCAAAAGGTGCACATTATGCATTGGATAAAATGTGCGACACTACAAGCCATCAATACAATGTCATTGGTCTTGATTGGACCATAGATGCTGATCGTGCAAAAACAGCATCTAAAGGTCGTATAACATTACAAGGTAATCTTGATCCATGTGCCTTGTATGCCGATCAAGATGATCTTGATTATTTAGTCGAACAAATGATTCAAGAATTCGGTACTGAACGTTATATTGCCAATCTTGGACATGGAATTTATCCAGATGTCAAATGGGAAAATGTATCAACATTTGTCAATGCCGTACATAAATATTCGAAAAAATTAATCAACAAATAACTTTGAAAACACAATAATCAATCATATTTTTATTCAAAATAAAGCATTTGCATATATTTTTTTTTCATTAAATCAAAATAATTATTAATGTAAAAAATGAGCGAAAAAAAACTAGAATGTTTTTACATGAAAATGATGGATTTATATATATATATAAAAAAAACCAAAAAGTTCATTCAATATATTGGCCTATTGTAAGGATGAACAATAATTTGTTTGGTTCCAGGCGCCACTTTAACACCATTTGGTAATGTAATCCAATCAGATGTTTCCAATACGGTCATTATTGGTCTTGATGGTGGTGGTGATGGTGGTGGTGAATAACTAGGTTCAACAAGAATCGAATCCTGATAAGGTGGATATAATTTAGGATAGGTGATATAATCACTTGATATTGTTGATGATATATTATTTGTTGTAATCACTTCAATTGGATTTGTTTGATTTTGTTTGGAAATTTATCTTCAATTTCATCTTCATTTTTAATTTCTTCTTTAATATTCTGTATGCTGACAATATCGGCATCATTTTCATTGTTTGATTCCTGGATTCGAACACGAAAAAATGAGAATGTTTTTTCAAACAAAAACAAAAATATCAAACTTACCTTTTGACCATTCGTTTCTTGTTTCAAGCCAGGCATATGATCATATTTATTAGTTTCAATTAATCGTAATCCAAGATTAGATGACCATTTTGTTAATTGTTCTCTGTTATAATCATAACTATTTAACATTCTATAATAGGCACAATAATGTGATGATAAATGTAATTCATTTTCATCTTGAATATATGGAATACCAGAATCACGATAATACTGATAATAATGTTCATAATCATGATTCATATCTAATTTCATTGGTTCACTTGGAATGATGGTTTTCTTTCGATGTTCTTGTTTGATGGTTGATCCCATCATCAACGTTGCCATATTTTCAGCGCCATTTTCTTCAATTTCTTTAGGGGTACTATTCTGATATTTACTCGATGTTGATTGACTGATTGCTGATCGTGAATCAAATTCATCAATTCCAGTTGATTTGTTATACGATTCAAATCGTGGCAATAGATCATTAAATTCATTTTTACATTTTCGATTAATTGAAAATTGAACTACTGGTTTGGTTTTTGTGTAAAGAATCATTTCTTTGGGCCAATCTTCTTGAATTGTCGATACAATTGTGTTGTTTGCCGATGATTGACATTCTGTTTTCGAAATCAAAGCTTGATCTTTATCATCGGTTATCATGTTATTGTCATCGCTAAAATGTTTTGATTTATTTTTCGATTTTTTCTTATCTTTCTTGTTGCTGTTCGAAAGTTTTTTACGTTTCTTTGATTGTATTTTTTCTGCAATTTTTGCTTGATACGTTTCTTTTTCAATTCTTTTAATTTTTTCTTTTTATCTTTATTACTTGACTTTTTCCGTTTATGATCACTTGAACCGCCGCTGCTGCTGCTACTACTATTACTACTTGATCTGCTGCTACTTGCATCATCGGATTCGGAATCGGATGAAGAACTTGAATCCGAATACGATACGATGACGACGACGATGATGATGATGATGATGAATGACTTGATGAATTATTAGATGATGAAGAAGATGAAGATGACGATGATGAACGAGAATCCGATTCAGAACCTGAACTGGAACTCGAATCCGAAGATGAAGATGTGGATGACGACGAAGAAGCTTTGTAACGTTTTTTGCTTTTCTTATTTTTATTATTCAAATTGTTTCGGATATTCTTTTTACGTTTTTTTGCTGATTTTTCCCCACCAGAACGTTTGTTCGATGATTCATCAGTAGTGATTGCTTTTTTCTTTTTCAACAATTTTTTTCGATTTTTAGTCTTTTTCACAGAATTATTTTTCTCTTGTTCATCTAAATCGCTTCGTATTTCTCCTTCTTCTCTGGATGAATTGAAAATGGCTTTTGAACCATCAGAATCGGAATCTTGTTTCTGTTTAGTGTCATTCGATTTTACTTCAGCTGCTAGTGTAGACAAACCATGTAACGTGTTGAATGTATTGACAAATTTAGGAATTTTGACTGGAATCTGTTTTTTCATTTCAACTGTTACCACTGTAGTTTTAGGAAAAGCTTCCATCATTCTTTTCTCTTCAAGCATATCAAGAAAAGATTTTGCCGATTGTTTTGCACTATTTTTTATATCCGATGGTTTCAATACAGTTACTTTTTCTTCTTTTTGATTATTATTATTATTATCATCACCTTTCACATTAAGTCCAAATTTAGTATCGTAATTTTTGTTAACATTTCCGTTTGTTGATGGTGACTGTCGAGAACTTGATTGTGGTGAAGGAGATTGTGAATAATTTCTTTGCTTACGATAATTATTATTCCGATGAAATCGACGATTTCGATTAAAACCTGGATCAAATCTATCTGTGTTATTACGAGAACGAAAATTAGAAAATGGACGATTTCTTCGAAAATCATTTCGCCGTCGGTTGTCCATTGAAACATAACGACGAGGTGATCTAGATCTTGAATTTATCGGTGATTTCGATGATCGTTTAACTAGATATTTTTTAACATCTTTTTGGCTACCATTCACCGTAGATGATTGAAAATGAGATCGTTTTTCAATTGGTTCTGCAGACGATGATCGATATTCACCTTCGGAACCTAGAACAGAAAATCATTAAAAACCTGAATGATTAACAATTAACATATACCTGGATCATCATCATTAGTTATCGATGTTTGATTTTTATCATTAACATTTTCAATAGGTTTTGCGGTTGGGGTTACATCATCACTAGCTTTTGAATCCATCATTGAAAAGTTGTCATTAAAACAAAGACAAATTTAATTTTTTTTTATCAATTTAATGAATCAAAGATCAAGAATTACATAGCAAAAAGATCGTGATTCTTATTCTGGTTGTCGTTGTTGTTCATGATGTTTATATATTATAAAATCAAATCGATTTTTTTTTCTCGTGCGATCAATAATAAAAACTTTCAACAGAATCAACGGGCGGCTATTTCGAGCGAAATGTACAAAGGCATGAATTGAGTGAAATGTAACACATGAATTTTGGCGTGTTACACTATGTTTATGACTTGTACACATATATGAAATATATTATCATTCATAGATTAATTTTAACTTCATTTCCAAGAAAAAAAAACCATATTTTAATCATATTAATAAACGGTAAATATTAATAATTAAATAAAAATATTCCCAAAGAATATAACAAAATTTGCATAATGAATAAAAATCATTTTTCCGGAATTTCGTCATTCTGTAGACAGAAACAAAAAAAAAATTCGATCAACCAATTAACCGACAATTATGGACAACGAAAAATTCAAATTTGTATTTGTAATGGCAAAGAAAAACATATCATTAAGTCAATTCATTTGAAAAAAATTCTTCAAAATAGCCTCTGTTTATACAGATAACCAAATTGACCAAATAGATTAAAATAGTTTGACAAAAAAAAAAAAGAATCGGATTTAAAAAAAAACGGTAGTTATAGCAAGATGATTCTACTGTGCAAGAACATGTACCAAAAATAAAATGTCGAAAAAAAAACGATTGGCAACTTGGGCGGTTTGTTGGTTCGTTCGTTTGTTTCGTTTGTTTTTTGCATTTAATTGCATTGAATTTTATTGATTGCTTTGCGATGATGGGTGGTTTTGTTTATACCGTTGTTGTTGTCATTATCAAAGTGGCGCTACAATTCTTTTATCCAAAAGTCAAGGTAGAAGTTTTTTTTTCCGCTACAAGAATCGGTCGAATATAAAATGTGATCCAAAACACACACACACATACACAAAACTATCAAATAAACTTGACAAATTATAGACTATAGTTAGGGAGTCTGTACCGGAGAAATGAAAAAAAAAAAAAAATACCAAACCAACCAAGAAAACCAGAAAAAACGAAACACTCGAAATATTCGATTTGACCCCGATCCACAACAACATTGTGACAATTAGACATACTAACCGACATTTTTTTTATTCTTCTTTATTTTTGAATGAATATTCTTCACCATCATCATTCACACACACACACACAGCAATCACGATGAGAATCACATGATAATTGTAAATGTGCTCAATTATTCATTGATCATCGATTCTTTATTCTAATATTCATCAAATCAAATCAAATCAAAATCTGAGGCCTTAATAACGGACTTGTATTTTTTGCCAAAAAAAAAAAAAAAAATGTGTTTTACTCTCAACATTATCGATCATCATCATTATCTATACAACAATCGACGTGTTTATCTTTGACCAATCAATCAATCAATCAATCAATCAACAAAACAAAACACATCCACACACGCAGAAACAAATGTTTGTACAGTAACAGCAGCAGCAACAATGATTGGAACATGGAAATTAATTTCACATATACTAACATTATTAATATCAATACCGAATATTATTGAATCAAAATTGAACAATTATGACAAGATTGGGTAAATTTTCATGTTTCAAATAACATTTCTCAGTTTTATATCTTTCTCTTTTATTCTTCATCAATCATAGGCAACATTTTAATTTGACCGATAAACAAATATTGGATCAAATAATTATACCGGATAAATACGATTATCGTATGAGACCAGAAGGTTTGTTTGTTCAACCGTGAGTTGATGGCGAAGAATTATTTTTTATTTATTTTTTTTTGAATTTCAAACCAGAAAAAACCATAGTAAATCTTAGCATATTAATATTAACATTATCATCACCGGATGAATCAAGTGTTACTTATGAAATTGGTTTTGTTCTTATGCAACGTTGGTATGATCCTCGGTTACGTTTTGAATTGCCCGATGCATTATTATTGGATACAAAAAATTCAAATTCAATCTATCTTAATGGTCTTAAACATACTGATCGTATTTGGATACCAGACACATATTTTATAAAACATGGTGAATTTCGCCATACAACCGATCAATTTGATCCATTGCACATAACATTGAAAATATTTCCAAATGGTACCGTTCTTTATACAACACGTCGTAATATGATTCTTACCTGTGAAGGTAATCTACGAATATTTCCATTCGATAGTCCAAAATGTTTTTTTGGTATCGAAAGCTGTAAGTAGTGGGGTGTTTTTTTATCATCATGATGATGATGATTACCATTTATCGTAGTATCGCACGAAAAAGATCAAATCCGTTTCCAATGGGATGAACAAGTGTCCATAAAAACATCGGATTCATTGAAAACAATAAATGCCTATATGACACGTAATGAAACTAATCGTTGTAATAAACGACATTCATGGCGTCGTGAATTTAGCTGTTTAAGTGTTTTATTAATATTTTCACGTGATCAATCATTCTATTTTACTACTGTATTTGTACCTGGTATGGTACTTGTTACTAGTTCATTTATTAGTTTTTGGCTCGATGTTAATGCTGTACCTGCACGTGTTATGATTGGTGTAACGACCATGTTGAATTTTTGCACGACAACCAATAGTTTTCGTTCAAAATTACCAGTTGTATCGAATTTATATGCAATGAATCTTTGGGATTTTGTTTGCATGTTTTTCATTTATGCATCAATGATTGAATTTATTATTGTCAATTATATTTATCGTAAAGGTAATCAACAACAACAACAACAACAACAGCGAACATCGACACGTTCAAAACAGGATAGTTTTACAAGACAAGATTTTTCTTTCCGTAACAAAGTATGTGAATATATGAATATAACCAAAGATTATTGTTCATTGTTCCAATTTTTAGAGTTTAAGAAATATTTATAATCGTGATGAACCAACACCACTACCAACATCATCAATTACACGTGAACATATGGATAATTTGCCAAAGAAAAAATTTCGCCGTCAACAAACAACGGAATTGGATATACGAATAGCTAAAAGTAATTATGCACGTGCAGCAACTACAAACATTCCAACAGCAGCAACAGCAACAACAACAGCAACATCTTCAGCATTAGCCATGACAACCGGAACAGATACTGGTTCGGAAAGTGAAAATATTGATCCATTAAGTGGTGATTATTATCGTCCGAATTATCAACGACGATCAGCAATTGGTTCCACAACAACTGCATTAAATCAATCATTTCGTGTACGTGTTAATAATAATAATAATATGCAACCAACATTAAGTGAAGAACAGGAAACAGAAAAATTAAATGTACAACAAATGAAAAATATCGTAATGGAATGGATAAAACGTCCATATCTATTTACAGCCAGTGAACAATATAGTAGTAATGAACAATTAGCACGTTCAATTGATCATATATCGAAAACAGTATTTACATTAACATTTGGTTTATTTTCATTTTTCTATTTTTTAACATATGCATTTATTAAACCGGCACAATTAGATGATTGGATTGAAAAAGAATTTGAAGCATCAGATTGGTGATATGCACTGCATAGTATTCTTAAAAAATTCTATATTCAAATGTTCAAAAAAAAAACAAATTCCATTTACATATTTCAGAGACACACATATATATTTCACAAATAAATATTAAAAAAAAAACTTTTTCTATCCGGTTTTCGAATATATGTCGGTTGTTTGTTATATCCGCTGGATGGAAGCAGTTTGTTGTAAATTGTGTTTATATACAACAACAACAACAACAGACAATGTAATTTCAAGCACAAAGTAAAAATCAAAGTTAAAAAGGCAACAGCAGACAAAAAATAATTCTGCCCTGAAGGAAGGAAAATGTAGCATGGTTTATTGTATAGTTTGAATTATTATTTTTGGATAAAGAAACGATGATAATCAGTCACAAGTTTCAAGGTCCGAAGGTCCGAAGATCATTCATGTTTGGTTGTTGAGAATATTCTGAATATAAATTTAAACTTATCCCGGATCCCCCGGATCCGGTATTTATTTAGTCCGATCAAAAAAAAAAATCCATTCTTTTGATGTGGAAATCATGTGATGATGGTAAATTTTATTCATAGCATCCTGTGTGTGTGTGTGTGTGGTTGATTTTTTTGGCAATAAATTTTTTTTTTTTTTGCTTGGTGACCGCCTCTCTTATGAATTTATTTTATATTATACCACCACCAACCACCTAAACTACTACCGCCGTTTTTCAATACATACAAAAAAAAATTGCATTAATACAACAACAACCGACACACAACGTTTTATACAACAAAACACCTAGCCTGCTTCTTCTTCTTCTTCTTCTTCTTCTTCTCGTCGTCACACCATCGTCGTTTGTTGGTTGTTTGATCGAACAAAACAACAACAACAACACACACACACACACACCACATACAAAAGACATATAAACAGGCAGACAAAGGCACACATTTGTTCTGTTCATAGATAACGTGATAAACTAAACATGCTTGTTCAGATTTATAGACACGCCTAATTGGTAGCTATTTTTAATTATACTCAAAGGCGTGGCCTATTTATGAATACAAAATTCGAGCTCTTTTCCGTTGTGGTGCAAAAAAAAAAAAACATTCCAGTTTCCTTTTGTTTAGATGCGCGTTTCATGATCTCCCTGGTTGTGAGTTCCACATCCTGATTATATTTTAGCTAAATTTATAGCCATCAAAAAATTATCATTGTTCCAAATCCGATTGTCATCCGATTATTTATCTACTGTTTCCATTTGTTTTATCAGTTGGTTCCGTTTCGGCAACAAATAATAATAAAAAAAACTCTCTTTTTTTCTTGTGGTTCTAAAAGAAAAAAACGATTCCGTTCGATGTTTTCACATCGATTTTGTTAATTCATTTTTATATTTGGCTTTATTTTTATTGATTGCCAATCCCTCATCCAACAGGTATGTTGTTAGATTACATTTTTTTTCTGCCAAAAATAGATAGAGTCTATTCATTGTTATTGTCAGTGTCAGTCATTCAATGTTTTGATATGGTGTGTGTGTATGAGACAACAACGTGCTTTGTATGTGTTTATGTACATCGATGTACGTCAGAAAAATCTTCCAAATTCAGAATATTCATGACTGACACCTAACAATAATCATCAATAATTGATAATTGAATTCAAATTTTAATATTGTCATTTTGTGTTTTTAAAAAAGGTATCATCGTGTAACAATGATGACTATGGATCATCATCATCATAATAACCATCATTCAATGAGTCATATACAAATGAATGCTATGGATATATCTGAAACGTATCAGGCAACAAATTCCATACAACTTCGTACACATCCTACTCATGCTACGATAAATTTTAGTGAATTGGGTAAAAAATTACTTGAATCTGCACGCAATGGTGACAGTGAAGAGGTGATTGAATTGATCAATTCTGGTGCACCATTTACTACTGATTGGCTTGGTGCATCACCATTACATTATGCAGCTCAATATGGTCACGTGGAAACTGTCGAAACATTGTTACGATCTGGTATTGCCAAAGATGCACGTACTAAAATTGATCGTACAGCTTTGCATGTTGCTTCGCAAGAAGGATTTTTGGAAACGGTCAATGTATTAATAAATTTTGGTTGCGATGTCGATTCAAAAGATATGCTCAAAATGACACCATTACATTGGGCAGTTCAACGTGGCCATAGACAGATTGTTGAATTATTGTTAAATTCTGGAGCCGATGTTAAAATAATCAACAAGTTCGATAAGACACCAATCGATGTAGCTTATAGCTGTGGCCATGATGATTATGTGCCTTTATTAAAAGTAAGTTTCATTCCATTTGTTTTCGAATATAGCTAACGAATTCTTTTGATCTCCATTTTATACAGAGTTATCTAGGCAAAGCCAAACCTAAAATAAATCCCATTGATAATACAATGCAAGTGAAAATGATGAAAAATCAAGCGAAATCTCGATCAAAATCGAATAATACAGTTAGAAATATAAATAAACCTATGCCACATCAATTGGTCAAACAGGAGTTCGATGAAGATATTGTTGGTGAAATTCGACATGTATCGACTTCCGATGGTTTCATAACAAATTCCACAACCTCATCAAATGTGGCCAATAAAAATCAGATTATAATCAAAAGAACAAGTCTAGATAGCAGTCAATTACAGAATGGCAGCCAAACATTACAGACGACAGCATCCGGAAAACTTGTCTTAAACAATACCTCAATAACGAGTCTTGGCAATAATTCAAATGCGAAAAAATTGTTCGCTATCAATTCTCCGAATTCCAACATTGTATTGCTATCGTCACCAAGTAGCGGTTCCAGCAACAAATTAAATGACAGTGGTAGTTGTGTTAACACACCCACCGGTCCCATAAAATTGATGACGACAGTTGGATCAAATAAAAAGCCTGTATTTACCGAAATAAAAGATGCAAAATCTTTGGAAAAGTTTCAATTCTTCAATCCATCGAATAAAGGCTCGCAACCACAAGTTATTAAACGTTATGTGATCAATCCAAATCAAACGAATTCTTCGACCATCCAGGAAAAAGATGCCGAAATAGCCAAACTAAAAGAAGAGAATGGAAAATTGAAAAAAGAGCTCGAAGAGATTCGTTCATTAATCATATCAAAAGATTTAGAAATTGAGCGGCTAAAAAAATCGAAAACTACTACCAATCAATCAACCGCTGATAAACAAGAAATATCTAGCAATCAGCCAACACCATCATCAAATTCGCCACCAACACTTGAACTTGAAGACGATGAACAATTGGACTAATGTTAATATTTTTCAATCTATTTGGATATCTATTATCCATCCATTTTTCTTGTTATCAGACCACCAATTTATTGCATCATATTGCTATATATATTTTTTTCTATATTTAATCGAGTTTTGTTATTCGAGTATTGAGAGAAAATTATTTTTTCTAAAATATTCTTCAAGCTACAATTCATTTGATACATAGTATTCAGACTATTTAAAAAAAACTCCATTGATCATCAAGAATTTTTAGAATATTTTCATCAAATGAACGAAATCATCATTGAATATATATTAATGTATATCAATTTGGAATTACTCTGATCTTTTTTTTTATTTTTGCTATATTTAATGATCACCACATAATTATCTTCTCACCTAAAACACCATGCCATACATGAAGATTTGGAATTTGAAATTGTAAATAATTCAAATTTGTTACACACACACACATTCATCATTTCAGCTCGGGTAAAAATTTATCAGCCTTAACATATATATTTGAAAAAAAATCATAAATGGATGATGATGATGGTGATGATTTTTTTCCGTTTTGTTATTTGTAAATAATTTTTTTTTCAATTCACTCATCATCCAATCATCATCATTATTATTAAGGCTCGTGACACATTTTTTAGATTTTCCCACATGTCTTTGTGTTTGGTTTTAACCCTTTAAAATTTTTTTTTTCTCTCCAGAAGTAGCATCAATCCCAATATTTCCATACACACACACACAAAAACACCTTGATTAATATTCACGATTCTTTGAATTGTTCAAACGTTCAAATACAAAAAAACAAACAAACAATATGCTGAAATCACATTACATTTCTTGATTAATTTTTCTTTTCTGTCAATTTTTTTTCCATCTTTGAATTCATTTTTGTGTTTTCGTGTCATTACCATTTTTTTTTCTTCTGTGCATCAATCAATATATAATTGTTTGTATTGTATTTGATGATGATGATGATTATTAATCAATAATAAAAAAAAAATTTAAATTTTTTAAAAACCGCTTTTTTTCGTTCATTTTTTTTGTGTTTCATAAAATCATGTTTTTTTTTTTTGATTCGTGTGCAGCACATGCGCATTTCCAGCACAATCGGACGAATCATTTGGCCATTGTCTGTTTTTTTTTTTTTTCGTTCTGATACACATTTTTTTTCGGTTTTAGTTTTGATCTCGCTTTCTACAGTTTATATGAATTGTGTGTGTGTGTGTGTGTGTGTGAGCCAATCTGGTATCTGTGGTATATAATTAAATGTAATAATAATAATTGTGTTCGATCACAACGACCCTCTCGACAACAACGAAAACAACGACAACGACGACGACAATCGATCGATTATTCCTGAGTGACCTGGCCACATCGTGAATCTGAATCGAGCACATTGTTATAAACATTGAGGATTTTCGAATCGTCGTTGAAATTTCTAAAAAAGATTCATTCATTGTCATCATTCATTTTGATCTACTATTATTGCTATAATCACCGCTATATATATTACTATACTACTTATGACCAAATTCTAATCATCAAATTCATTTTGTGATCTTTTGAAATCATCATTATTCATTTCGATATATATATCGCTTTATTAGTTTTATGATTTTATGAGAAAAAAAAATTTGGCTGAAATGCGTCAATCAAACAACAATTTGGAATCCTCAATGGAAACCGAACAACAATACTCAAATAGTGAAATTCATAATGGCCAAAATGGTACCATAACAACAGCAAATAACAACAATACGACAACCAAACCAATAATTGAACGTGGAGCATCATGGGGTTTTGGTGAAACGAAATTATTATTAGCTCTTTGGAGCCAGGATATGGTACAAAGACAATTAACGAATTCGAAAAGAACCCGTCATGTATGGGAAAAGATTGCCGAAAGAATCCGTGAACATGGATATGAACGTACTGCTGGTTAGTGTTTGTATGGATGGATATCAAATCAAAGATATAAAATTTATTTATTTATTTTTTTGCATTGCCAATTAGATCAAGTTCGAACCCGTGTATTCAATATGATTGCCGAATATCGACGAATAATGAAAAATCCTACACCTGAACGTCGTAAAAAATGTATATTTTTTGATGCTTTACATCGAATTTATCAAGCAAAGGATACGAATAGTTTGGAAAATGTCATAATGACAATGGGTTATATGATGGATAATAGCTCCGGTAGCATTTGCAGTATTTCAGATCAATACAATTTTGATCCATTAGATTTCAGTAATATTGGTCCTGATGTTAGTATTGATCAAGTTGATGGTTCAAATGGTGATGGTGATCATAATAATAATAATAATAGTGGTAGTGATACTGATGAACGTAATAATGAAATTCTTATTTTTCCATTATCACCAAATGCGTATACCGCCACTAATAATATTAATGCTGATGATGATGATGATGATTTTAATTATGATGGTAAGTAAAAAAAAATTGAAATCCATTCAGTCATTCAATGTGTGTTTTTTATCATTAGAATCAACATTTGCACCTCAATCTAAACGTTTGCGTTCGGAACTCGAATCGAATGGTAATTTTAATCAAAACGCACAGAATAACCATCATCATCATCATAATAATTATAGCCAAAATACATCATCATCATCAATGCCATTAGATACATCGGCATCTGCATTGCTCATTGATCGAATGTTTTCACATTTATCAAAAGAAACGGAAGTGATGCGTGAATGGGTTAATTTGGAACGTGAACGTTTAGCACAAGAAGTGGCACGCCGTAAAGAGGAAAAAGAACGTGAAGAACGAAGAGAGAAAATATTTTTGGATGTACTTAATAAATTACAGGAACGAATATTCAGTGTATTGAAACATCATGAAAAATCAAATGAACAGCAACCAACACAGACTCCTACATCATCATCATCATCATCTAATTTGAATCAAACGGATAATCAACAATAATGAATTATCTTTTTGTCATTCCTTTCAATCAATCAAAAAAAAAAAAAAAAAAAATGAATTCGATTCCTTGTTTTTTTCTTTCTTTTTTGATAATGAATTTTTTTTTGGGTAGTAAGAGATCAAATTTAAAAAAAAACAAAATTTCAGCTGTTCAATTCCTTTTTTTTGAGCTAGCAATAATAAACCATGATGAAAAGTATTTTAAAATAATAAAATAAGTGTTTCCTGACTATCTTCTTGGTGTTGTATAGATGATGAATGAGTGTGAGTGTGAGTGGATAAAAGTCGAACAAATTGATGAATAATCCGGATTGCCGGGCGGAAAGAAAGAATACTCCGCCCATTAATTATATGCCAAATTTGGAAACTTGAATCCAACGATACCGAAATATATTATATTTATATATGAGTGAATCGAGAACAAATGCCAATGCCAAAAACAAAACCACCATATGCATTAATTGGTGTCGTCATTTCAAAAAAAAAGAAAATTTTCGCAGTGTATACAGCCACCGAAAACCAATATAACGAATGTATGCCATCATCCGTTATTTCGACGCCGTTATTTGTCTTGTTTGTATATTCGTGCATGCCAATATATATGTGCATGTTGAGTTTATTCGGACAAATATTGTTGTTATTGTCGTCGCATCAATACAACCAACCAGTGTGTACGAGTGTAAAAAAGATTAGTGAATTTTTTTCCTGAAATTTTTTTGGGTTGATAAGGTTTACCCAAAAACTATATACGCACACACACCTGTTGTTGGATTTGTTATATTGATTTTATCTAAAAAAAAAAATTTTTCTCCTCAATCAATCAGCTGATCAATCATATCAACATCATTATGACATTAGGTAAATCTGGCTGTCTACATCCATGCCATGGCAAAAATGATAAAATTATCGTCAAACGGCTTGATGATACACATGAAGAATTGCATATGCCCGATAAGGGTATTGAATCATTACAAAAAATGCCTTATGTTTGTAAGTATTTGTAAATTCGTTAAAATAATTCCAAAAAACGCATTTTATCATTTTATTAGTTAATTTGGTAAATCTTCGATCCATCACACTTAGTCATAATAAACTCAGAGGTAAGATGATTTTGAATTCATAATGAAATCATAATGAATTTTTTTTTCACAGTATTATCACCCGAAATTGATAAATTATACAATTTGGAAAATTTAAATCTTTTCAATAATTACATATCTGAATTACCGGTCACTATTTGTAATTTGGATAAATTGAAATGTTTAAATGTTGGTATGAATAATCTTCATACATTACCGAATGGATTTGAACGTTTACATCAGTTGGAAGTATTGGATTTGTCGTATAATTTTCTAACTGAACATTCATTTACGGCAGAATTTTTCACTTTAGGTATGTTGAAAAAAAAATTTGAAAAGCCAATTTTTTTTAAATTGAAAATTTTTTTTCCTATTTCTTGAAGAAAATCTACGAGCCCTATATCTATCGGACAATGATATCGAAATATTACCAACAGAGATTGGAAATTTGAAAAGTTTGCAAATTGTAAGTTTTTTTGGCCAGAATTCATCATTTATTGTCACTTAATTACTTGACAAATTTGTATTTTAGCTTGCTATTCGAGATAATCATCTGATATCATTACCGGAAGAATTGATTTTACTTCAACGATTACGTGAATTACTTATTCAAAATAATCGGATAAAGTTTGTTGTTGATTTAAAATGTTCGGACAAACACTAATCATTTTATTGCTTGCTTATAGAATGCTTCCACCAGAATTGGGTAATATGGATTTTAATTCACCACGTAGCATAATACGAATGGAAGGCAATCCATTTGAATCGGATCTTAGTGATCAATTGAAATTAGGTGTATCACATGTTTTAGATTATATTCGAAGCGATATATATCGATCGTAAGTTGATTGTTTATTCTCAATTTACATGTTTTATTTGTTGTTTTTTAAAAATATCTGTAGCCGTTATTCTCGATATACAATGGATCCTGGTCCACCACAACCAAAAAATGAAGAACGATATCAACGTAAACTTTTACGTTTGAAAGGAAAATGAAATTTAATATGAAACCAAAAAAAATGAAGACAAACGAGTGCCATAAAGAATTTCGAATTATTTGTTTGCAGCTTTTCTCAGCCACATATTCTTGCAATTATAGTTTATCAACGTATGCTTTTGCTTTTTAAATTAATAATATGGAATGACACATTATTTGACAGGAAAACAATAAATATGATGTGAGATTTTTAATTCTCAATATATTGATGATTTACTTGATTTGAATTTATTTTTGAATGAATAAAAATTCAAAATTCGGGCATGTATTCTTTGGATAGCTCCCGACACCCGTGTGTATTTTTATATATTCAACACACACAATATATATTGTGTCGCTATTTGACGCGTCACTGTTATTGATTTCAGTCTTTTTTTTTCTCTATCTCTCTCATACTTTTTTTTCGCGTGTGTGTGTGTGTGTTATATTTTTTTTGGTTTTGAAATATTTATTTTTAAAACATTGAATACTGGTGATTATTGATTGTTTTTAAAATAAAATCTTCAAACACATACATAATAAATTTGTTGGCCATCATGTCGATCATGGAGACTTTAGGTCTTGGAGAATTGACCAGAATGAGTAAACGACAGGTATGAATATTGATGAAATATGATAGCCGGCTGTTTTGATTATTAATTAATTCTGCTTATTTTACTTTCAACAAAAAAGGTTCTATATCAATTCTTAAATTTTGGAATGATCATATCATCAGCCATGATGATCTGGAAAGGATTAATGGTTGCCACAGGCAGTGAATCACCAATTGTTGTCGTTCTTAGGTATGTGTCCATAAAGTTTACTTGGATTGAAAATCATTATTATTATTCTAATTAAAATTTAACTAATAGTGGTTCTATGGAACCAGCATTCCATCGTGGTGATCTATTGTTTTTGACCAATTACAAAGAGGATCCAATCCGTGTAGGAGATATTGTTGTATTTAAAATTAAAGGTCGCGATATACCAATTGTACATCGAGTTATAACGTTACATGAAAAGTAAGATTACTAGAGAGAGAGAGAAAAAATTGAATTTCAAATATTTGACTCATTTATTTCATTTTTTTTAATAATAGGGAAGATGGATCTGTAAAAATATTGACCAAAGGTGATAATAATTCTGTCGATGACCGTGGTCTTTACGCACCTGGACAATTATGGCTAGAGAAAAAAGATATTGTTGGCCGTACTAGAGGTTTCGTTCCGTATGTGGGCATCATTACTATTCTAATGAATGATTATCCTAAATTGAAATATGCAGTACTCGGTATACTTGCATTATTTGTTTTGGTACATAGAGAATGATGATGATGGTGATGATGAAACATTTTTATTATTTGGCATACACACTACACACACACACACATTTGATCTTGTATTATGGCCCCAAAAACATCATTTTTTTCTTATCTCAAATTTTATTTGCCGAAGAAAAAAATTTTTTTTCAATATAATAACCAAAAATAATATTTAAATTGAAATCATTACACATTTTTTTGAACGCTAAAACTTGCTTTCATTTTCATTAATTTAGCATTCATCAATCGTTTACGTTTTAATAATGTTGTTGTTGATGATGATGAAAGACGTTTTTTTGGTCTTATCATATGAATCACTTCGATGGGCATCGTATCTGTCGAATTTGCTGCTTTTTTTGAATGTATCAATTTTTTTGTTAATATTTCTGGTGATTGAATCTTGCCATTATCATCATCATTTTTAATAGCTTTCAAATCGGTAGGTCTATTGATGATTACACATTCGAATTCGATACCATTTTCGGCCAAAAATGTGTTCATTTTTCGGATCTGTTGTAAATGTCGTTGTACCATGCGAAGTTCTTGTTTTGCAGTTTTCGGTTGATTATGTGCTAATCGATGTTTTTCCACACTGCTAACAAATGGCCGATTCCAATTTCTAAAGATGTTTGTCTTTATTTTTCCGGTGGTAATATTTGACATTTAACAATTCGATCAAACATAAGATAATTGTCCATAGTTTTTGCAGCAATTTCAGCCACATCTTCAAATCTAAATTCTATGAAACCATAATTTTTTGGTTTACCAGTCTGCAAAAAAAAAAAATACAAATCAAACAAACAAAATCAGTTTATCATCTCTAGCCATAATAGAAAAACAATCAATCAATAAAATATTACCTTACGGCTTCGGATAATTTTCAATCGTGTTACTTCACCAAACTGTGAAAAATATTCATACATTTGTTGTTCGTAAAAGCCATGAGGAAAATTTTTAATCATTACAACACCACGTCGTTCTTGTCCATTGTCGCCAACTTGGCCATTTATTGTTTGTTTATTTTTAATCTTCTTGTGGATCGTCTCATGGTCAGGTTGTATTTTGAATGAGTTATCAATTTTCGATTTTTTCTTATTCAAATCATTTTCTTCTAAAAATGATTTTAATTTTGCCAATGATTTATTCAAGTTGAACATTTTTGAAATAAAAAAATTTTTTATTTTCACTTCAAATGACACAAATGTGCAAGAAAAAAAAACACGCGTGTATTGTGTCAACTATTTGAACACAATCGAATGTAACCAAGTGGCATTAGTGTGTAATTTTGGAATTTACATTTTATTATTAATTAATTCTAAATCAAAATTTCTAATGGATCCTGCCACTATTGTTGACCATGTTCGTCGAGAAAAAACATTAGTTCTTGATGAATTAAATTCGTTGTGTGATCACCAGGATAAATTACTTTCAAGAATTGATGAAATTTTCATCAAGATTGAAGAAATCAAAAAATTGGTTCATCAATATGCACCTACAATGATTGCCTATGATTTACGTTCTTGTAATGATATAATCAAAGAACTTGAAATAGCTATACAAAAATATCGTTCGACAAATGTGCCGAATAAATCGTTTAAATTTTCATTTGATGTTAGAAAAAAACCAGCAAACAAACCGGTGAATTCGGCCAAAACAGTGGATTCATCTTCAATGATTATTCAACAAGCATTTGATGTTCCTGGATTCAAAAATCGATCAAATGAAAACCTAATGTTGGATAAACCAGAAGAAACAGATGGAAAAGATATTGTTATCGATTCAATGGACAATTGTCAAATACGAATATATGGAGTTCCAAGCTCATTACGATTGATTTGTCTTCGGAACTGTCAAATCTATACGGGACCAATTCAAACATCAGTATACATAGAAAAATGTCAGGATTGTCGATTCGAAATTATTGCTCAACAGATACGAATACATGAAACGGAAAAATGTGATTTTTATTTCCATGTAACAAGCCGTACAATAATTGAAAATTCATTCAATTTACGATTTGGCCCATATCAATGGTCATATGAACAATTAGATAATGATTACAAACGCGCTGGTATAGATCCTCAATTGAACAATTGGAATTGTATAGATGATTTTAATTGTGTACAGAATCCATCACCCAATTGGTCATTAATAGCACCATTGAAATGATTTAAAATGTGATTTGACATGAGATTTAAAAAAAAAGAAAAAAAAATTTACATCATGATGAAATGATTTCATTTGTTGGTTTGGTTACTTTTTCTCAATAAATAGGTTTTGTCTTTGTTCATTAATCAAGAAATTCATTTGTACTGGTTGATGCTATTTTCGGTATCGAAAATGCCATCGTCGTACAAGCCGATGCCAACATCATATATTTGGGATTAAATTGTACACATTGTACTGGTCCTTGATGTGGATCAATTGTGAAATTGGAAATATAATTTCCATTTGTTGCATTCCATGCATGAACACGTCCATCAGTTGAACCACTGAATATGAATTGAGAATCCGGTGTAAACGATGCTTCCAACGGTAATCCTTTATTATTCACATGACCTTTCAATGTTTGTAGCGGTCGGCCCATAAATGCATCGATAGTATGAATGACATTACCATTGGTATAGATCATAATAATTTTACCATCTGGCGAAAATTTCAATCCGGTCCAATCACATTCTTTGTCCTGTTGCAGTTTAAACGCATTGAATGGACCTTTATCAAATGAACGTAAATCGTATAGTTTGACTGTTTCACTATTCAATCCAACAGCAAATATAAGTCCTTCGGGATCAAAATTCGCTACCGGTCGTCCTACTAGATGCATCAAGCCTTGACAATTTGGTGATCGTAGATCCCAAAGACGAATGGTTTTATCCATCGAACCAGATAAGAATGTGTCATCGATCGGTGACATACATAGGGTGACGACTTTTTTCGTGTGGCCATGAAAATATCGAATGTATTTATTATCATGTAATGAAAGATAACGTATCGTATCGTCCACTTTATTTGACGAATGTATGGCTGTATTCGGTGCATGTGTATAATGGATTAAATCGACGCCATATTTTTTACTATTCAATGTTCGTTTATGTATTCCTTTTTCACAATCATAGATGACAATCGAATCATCATCCGATGAACTAATCAATGTATCACCCGTTGGAGAAAAATCGATCGAATTGATACGATCAACATTATCTTGGAATAATTTAGCCACATGAAAATTACATAAAACATTTTCCTCTAATTTCATTTCTGAAGGATAAGATGATGATCTTATTGTTGTTGTTGTTGTTGATGATGATGATGATGATGATGTTGATGATAATAATGATGATAAACCAGAATCATTAGGTGCATTCACCATAATTCATTTACTTTTATTGTTGTGTTCGAATCAAATATAATAACACAGTGACGGTCATGACAACAACAACAACAATGCCAACACACACACACACACACAAACAGGAGCTCGTTTGTCTTTTTACACCCAATTGAATTGTTTGAGTAGAAAAGGTGGCAAAAAAAAAAAATAAATTCGAAAAATGGTAAAATTGTTCTCTTGTTCACTATATATAGTTTTTAATTAATATAAATAATTTCAAATAAACAATTGATTATTGATTATATAATTATTAAAAGCTAAATAATTGAAAGTAGGTAAATTTTTGTCGATTTCAGTGTGTATATGTGATAGTCATAAAATATTCAATAAAGAAGAAATTCATTAATATTCTAAATATTGCCACCATTTATAATCGGGAAGAATGAGTTTTTTTTATGTACTTTTTTTTAGAGCTTCATCATTCATCAATGTTATGTTATATTAGTTGGATGATGTTAGCGTGTTTTTCATTTTTGTTCTTAATCGTCATCATCATAATTTTTGACTCAAGTCTAAATGTTCAGAAAGTAATTTCGATGGTTGAATAAATTGTAATCGTCCATTATTTACACAAGACAAACGTTTTCCATTGGTGGTTGAGCCTATGAAATTTTTTTTTTTAAAAAAGATAATCAGATGTATAAAAAAATCAATTGGAAAAAAATTGGATAAATACTTCGACAATTAAGATTCAAGTATTGACAGCAAGCATGCAACAAGAATCGTTGATATGAACATTGTAATGCTGTCTTATACAATGATCGAGGATGATGACGAAAATGGTTTATGACTTTTTGTTCGATCGATGCCAAAATGCCCTGGTATTTTTTTTATAGTGAAAAAACAACCAATTTACGAAAAGAACAAAAAAAAATATCACATGAAACTTACAAGTGGAACATGTTTCTTGAGCAATTGTTTTCGTATGGTGGGTGATATTCTTGAAAAGCAGAGATTCGAATCCTCTTCTTTCACAACATCATCATCATCATCATCATCAAGATCCAAATGTTTATCATCATTTGTCATTGATGAATGTCGTTTATTATTCCGAAGTTTGGTCAGCTCAAATTCAATTACCCGATCAAGAAGCATTGATTGTTCATCTTCAGTACAATTGATAAAATCATTCAAATTAAACAATTGATTTGTACATGAATCCATGAGTAAAGTGAATGATGATGGTGATGATGATGATGGTATAAAATCATCGATGGATAGCTCGTCATCCAATTCGGATTCATTGATCAGATTGCCCAAATCATTGAGCAGATTGGCTATATAGGCAACAATTTGACAAATGGATCGTCAGTTGCAAAAAAAATTAACATTGTACACATTTTTGTACTATTCTATAATGTACCATTGGCATAACGCCTAAATTTTTTATGGCTTTTTCCTTTGGCTCCTAATGCAGCAAAAGTTGGTTCTGGTTTAGTTGGTGATTTTTTTGATTTAGGTGTTTTTGAACGGCCAGCCGCCGTTTGGTTCGAAATGGAATCATTTTGGCCAACAAACGATTCTTCACTGTTCAACATAAAAAAAATTGAATCTCAAATTACAAATCATGAATGATTACAAATCAATCTCAATACCCATCGCTTGAAATGTAGATCCAATCATCATCACCACCACCAACAGCACCAGCACCAGCACCACTATTTTCAAAATTGTTGAAATTATTACGAATTACTCCCATTCTGATTTTTTTGTTTCTTAATCAGCAACTAAAATTGTGTTCGAAAAAAAACTTTCAAGTATACTAAAATTTATGTATAAAAACAATGAAGATGATGATGGTTATAAATAAAGGATAATTGTCGATGATTTATTATTTTTATATCAAAAAAAACAAAAAAAAAATTCGAATGGCGCAAAATTAAATTATTCAACACAGTTAATTTGAACTTTCAATCACTTTGATTTTGGATTCGATAAAATAGTAAAAAAAACAAACAAACAAAATTTGAATCGCAATTGATTGATTTGGATTGTATACAAACAAACCAACAAACAAAGAGATAATTTTTCCGTTGATGTACAAAAATGAAATGATGATGAATGATGATATTGATGTTGGATTGTATACTTGAAAAACTTGATTTTTTTTTTTGTTTTGTTCTGTTGCTATGTGGTGTCGCTAAATAATATGTCATCACATATATAAAAAAATTATGTGTAAAACAAAAAAAAAAAAAGAGAGACTGGTCCGCCCAAACGTATGATATACGAACAGATTTTACGTCGTCATTCAGCTATATTTTTGTTGTTGTTGTAACCATTTTCATTATTATCAATCAATGATGATGTGATGATGAGTATTTTACATGGAGCATGCTCCACAAGAAATATCGTTTAAAGTTTTTTTTTTTTTTTTGAATTTTGGCCATTTTATTTTTTCGCTATTTTTTTTCTTTATCGAAATATTGATTTTTCTAATTGTCAATAAATAATCATCTGACTGATGATTGATTGATTTTTGATTTAATGATGATAATAATTTCTATGGAAATTGGTAATTGGTAACAAGGAAAAATAAGCTGTTTTTTTTGGTACGATTGATTGCATTTTGTATTTTTCAAATCATTTGTTATTTCATTTCATTTTTTTTTTGTTGTTGTTGTTGATGCTATTGTTCCAGATATAATTTGATGATAATGGAAAAAATGAAGATTTTTGTTTCGTGTTTTTTCATCATTATTTCGATTATTAAAACTACAGCTTCTTATACACCAGTGGTTATGTATCATGGAATGGGTGATACAGCATATGGTAGCATTAATTCGGTAAAAACATTTTTAGAAAGTAAATTTCCTGGAATCTATGTTACATCCATTCAAATGGGCAATAATGTTGAAGAAGATTTTCTCAGTAGTTATCTGATGAATTTAAATGAACAAGTGGAAAAAGCTTGTACTATGATCAAAGCTGATGTACGATTAAAAAATGGCTATCATTCAATTGGTTTTTCACAAGGTGGACAAATACTTCGTGCAATTGCACAACGTTGTCCTGAACCACCGATGAAGAATCTAATTTCTTTAGGTGGACAACATCAAGGTGTTTATGGATTTCCAAAATGTATGGGAACCGTTAAAATTTGTAATTACATTCGTGAAATGCTTAATTTTGGTGCCTATGTTAAATATGTTCAAGATAATCTAGTACAAGCTGAATATTGGCATGATCCATTGCAAGAAAATTTATACCGTGATCGTAGTATATTTTTGGCCGATATTAATAATGTAAAACAACCACGAAATGAAAGCTATAAAATTAATTTAACAAGGTTACAAAATCTTGTTTTGGTTCAATTTCTTAATGATACCATTGTACAGCCAAAAGAAAGTTCTTGGTTTCAATTTTATGAACCTGGTCAAGCAACTGTTGTTTACAAACTTCGTAATTCAACATTATATCAAGAAGATTGGATTGGTTTGAAAAAACTTGATGAAACTAAACGATTGAAATTACTAGGTACCATAGGTGATCATTTACAATTTCATGTACATGGAAAATGGTTTTACAATGAAATTGTTGAACCATATCTGTCAAAATAGATTATTATTATTATTATTTACAATTTACAATCTAATTTAAAATTAATTAATTAATCACTTCTGTACAAGATTTACAAAATAAAAAGCTAAAATCACAGCTAAATAGATTGGCACAATTATCATTATTGTTGTTCGTCATCATCATCATCATCAATGGTTCGATTTGTTGTCCCATCGGTTATGCTAAGTAATTCAAGTTCAGCATGTCGTCGATTTCGTTTTTTTACATACGATGCAAGTGAATAGGATGCAACTGATCCACCAATGGCCGATGCAATACCTGTGGATAATTTAAAACTAATCAAAGCACCAATAGGGCCGAAAATTGTGGCACCAACTGCTGCACAAGCTATAGGTACGACACTTGATGATGCTGCCTGAATGTAAAAAAAAACAATATAACGGTAATTAGAATCGATCATCAGAATTAATTATATCATCATTCTTACAATGGCCAATGATTTGGTTCCTTCACGAACATTTTCAGTAGTATTTTCAATATTCTGTTCAATGTGATCAACTGGTGTTTGTTGTTCCTGAAAGTAGACATTTATTTTTTTTAATTGAAATTTTTACATCATACAACTTACATGAACTATTGTACCAAATTTACTCATCATGTCATGTAAATCTTCTAGATCTTGATTAAGCGCTTGTACATCACGAAGTGTTCGACTAGCTTTTCGAATATTTTCTTCAACTAGATTGGTTTGCTGTATCTGTTGTTGCTGCTGCTGCTGTGTTGTGTGTTTATTGATTCATCATCATCATCATTAACAATTGAGCAACGATTATCCTGTATTATGTGATCACTGATTTTTGAGAAAGAAGTAATCGATTGAAAAACTTCTTTTCGAATCGATTGAACTTTATGATCATATTCATTGTCGGTTGTTAATTCATTCAATAATTTATAACATTTTTCCAATTCATTTAGATTATTACGTAATTGTTGTGTAATAAGATGAGAAGACATACATTCTTTAGTCAAAAGTTTTTTGGCAGGATTCTACAATGAATGAAATTCAAACTGAAAAACTTCAACAAACAAACAAAAAAAAATTTAAAAATCCATACCGATCGAATGATTTTGGCAGATTTTTCCAATTTCACTAGATTTGGTTGAATTCCATTCGTTATAATTTTATCGATACTATCTTTGTAAAGAAGAATTTTTCGTTTTTGTTGAACATTCATCATATCATATTATTTATTATTTATATTTATTGTTTTAAATTTTAAAAATAAAAAAAAAAAATAAAACAAACAAATCAAATCAAATATATTTATATATCAATGAAAAATACGTAGTTGAGTAACAACAGACGATCGACAACTATTTAGGTAGAAATAGATGGCGAATTTTTTTTTTTTAGTTTTTCAATAATACCCATTTAACAATATCAATGAGCATATGAGGACACAACTGTGTGTTTTTTGTGTGTGTGTGTGTTATATATTCGTGTTAACTCCGTAGTAAACTTGAGTTGTATAAACCTATGATTTGAAACAAATTGAAATTTTTGCGCGATATATTCATATTATTCATACTATAATTATTGATTGAATGGATACAATTATTAATACAGAAGATAATCCAATTGATAATACGGCAGTGGCGGCAACGATCAACAACATGGATGTAGAACAAATGAATTCTGTTACATCATCACCGAATGCTAATGAAGATGTTGTCAATCAAGAAGTTAAATCAATCGAAATCAATTTGAATGTTATAAAAACTTTTTTCCTCAATACCATATCATTGTATGAATATTTGGTTAAAAATCATTGTACAACTTGTAATGTTGTTGAAAGTGAAGAATTTGTTGCTTTGCATAAAAATCTTATTGATTTTGAAAATATATTTCGAATATTTGAAGTTTCATTCGACAAAACATTGTTAACCACATTGGTCAAAAAGAATATCATACGTGATCAATTTAATCATTTGGTACAAGCTGATGAAACAACCGATAATACTAATGTGGCTGCTGGTGTAGAGATTGAACATCATAGTAATGTTACATCAAAATATCCATGCTATGTTTCATCATGTAGTCAATTCTATTCCACAGAAGAAGGAGCAAAAATTCATTTTATTAAAAATCATTGTAAAAAAGGTGACGTATTCGATGAAGATGAACGAGCTAAATGTTCTGAACATGCTATCGCTAATCTTAATGAATTGAAACAAATTGGCTCTGATCGTTATAATTGTCCAGTAGATGATTGTAATTATGGTACATCGGATCGAAGTAATTTTAAAGTGCATCTACAACGTCATAGTAATGCCAGAAAATTTTCATGTATTTGTTCGAAAAAATTTTTCACACGTGATCCATTCATGATACATTTTGTTCGGCTTCATATGAAAGAAGTGAATTGGACACTTGCACAGACTGATATTCAAAGTTTGCGAAAAACTATACGTCGATTGACAAATCGTAAATATTTGAAATTCTCTTCTAATGATGAGATTCCTGATTCGGATTCCGATTTGAATGGTCCAATTGATTCGGAGAAAAATGAACTAAACAATTATATAACACAGGCTATTCAAGATTCAAGCAAACAATCAGAGCCACCGTCAAGTAATTCTGGATCAAATGACAACGTTCTATCTTTCTCAATGTCTGTTGATGATGAAATTGATGAAGTTGCATCAACGGTTGCTAATACAAATGAAAAAAATTCCGCTGATGAAAATCCACTGAATTCATTCAATGCATCATTGAATTTGAAAGATAATTTTTTCACTGATTCTGTTATTTTTAGATCTGAAGGTGTCGAACAAGATGTTTTGTCAAAATTACCGGCAAATGAAAAACTTGTTCGAAACATGTCATTATCTACTACTAAAGATAAAATCATACAGAAAGATATAAAACAACGTCAACGTAAATATAAATGTCCAAATAAAAATTGTGAACAAGATTTTTTCACATCCAAAAATCTTCTGGTTCATCTAAAAGCATCACATGATCCAAGTAATCCGGTACTATGTACTGAACCAGGATGTACGGCACGATTCAAATCAACAGCATTGTTAGCTCAACATCAGAAACGTCATCAGGTACAATATACTTGTACAATCTGTTCGTATCGAACACATTTAGCGGCACTTATGACAAGACATAATCGTCAACATGCTGGTGAACATTTACATCATGAATGTCCTGTTTGTCATGAAAAATTCGAATATCTTGGTGCGCTTCGATCACATTTGACTAATGTACATAATGAAAAGGAACCACTTCGATGTAAATTCGAAGGTTGTGAGAAAAAATTCAAAACAATCATTGGTCTTAAAAAACATTGTCGTGAATTTCATTATAATATGAAAGCAGAAATCTCTTGTGAATGGCCAGATTGTACGGCCGTATTTTCCAACAAATCAGCAATGGTAAATCATATGCGTATACATACAAATGAAAGACCATATCAATGTACATGGCAAGATTGTGGTAAATGGTTCCGATTGAAAGAAACATTAAAACGTCATATTAAACTACATCAAGGTTTTAAGCCATATGTTTGTCCATTTGATAATTGTAATTGGTCATTTGTGACAAAGAAAGGCCTTAAAACACATATTGAAAAAGGACATTTAAAGAATCCTACCGAAATACCTAAACAACCATCATCATCATCACCATCATCATCACCATCGAAGCAAAAAATTGATTTAATCACACCGAAAATAGAAATTGATGATGAAGAGGAATTGATAACAGCACAGCAAACGATCGAGCAAAATGATTCCAGCATGACTGAAGGAATGGAAGAAATGGACACTTCCAACACCAATTCTGTTGCTGTAGATGACGATTAATTATTTCCTTTTCCATTTTATATCTTCTATAATATTTTCAATTTTCATATGCAAATTTGTATTTCACTACTACTAATTATAAATGATCGAATTAATCAATAAAATTCTATTCAATCACTATTGCCTGTAGTAGCCAATGTATATGATCGTTTATATGCTGCTTCAATGCCTGCACATATTCCGGATGATACTTCACTTTTATCTAGCACCAATTGTCCGAAAATGGCTCCACCCGATGGACTTGATGCATCTTCTTTTAATTTTGATGCACCTTCACCAGTATTTAATACTGTTTGTGATGTTGATGATGCAATTTTTGATGCCAATTTAATGGCTAGTGCACGTGGAAATCCAAGTTTCACGGCACCATCAGCCAATGCATTTATGAAATAGTAGCACTAATGTTAATTGGTAAAAGTGGACAACAACAACAAAAAACAGAAAAGATTAAAATATTAACGCATCATCAAATATAAATGTACTTACAAATGCTAATCCGGCACCACTGATTGTGCAAACACTATCCATCTGATTTTCCGGTAGATATTCTACACGACAAATACGGCATAAAATATCACGAACTAATTCGGGAAAATTTTTACTATCTGGTTCAGCATCCACCCAACAATTGCCCACACCATAAGCAATCGAATGACTGATGACAGTTCGATAGAATTTTACTGTATAACGTTCCGGATTCTCAGGATTCAATAAACATTCTTTGATTTGATCATTTGAGAATCCAAACACCAAACTCATGACATAAACTGGATGTCGCATATTCGGTATATAATTGGTGGTTAATGCTGCCGGTCTTGTTCCGCCAATTTTATATAAATTCCGAATCACAGTTGGAGGAACACAAATAAAAACAATGTCACAATCAAAACGACCAAAAATATCAATATTTCGTTTCGTTATACGAATACCCGGAAATGTGATCTTCAATTGATCTGTATTTATTGTTGTCGGAGCTGAAACATAAATACGTTTCGGATCAATTGGTTTTTCATTTGGATTATCTCTTGGATGAACCACAAGACCAGTAATGATGGCCGATGCCAATTTTCCAGCTCCAACGAATCCAATTCGAACGGTAGTTTTATCAGCACGGCTTCTTTTTGTTCGCCGTGTTCGACTCGTATTTGCTGAGACGCTATTTTTCGTTGAACTACCTTGAGTACTCATTTTTTTTCTCGATAAAAATCCAAACTACAGTAAATGATCAAATCAATTGAAAAAGAATTCATTCATATCAATAATTTGTGGCCATTGTTACGATAATTTGATTTGATTTTTTTTTTATTTTTTGAATTGCATTACATCGATGAACGGCACATGAATTTTTTTTTTAATTTTATTGCGAAATATGTTGTTTCGTATCAAATTATTGCAAAATTTAATTATTATCAACAATGCACGACGAATCATGTCTTCGAAAGTTGAAAGATCATTGAAAGATTTAAATTTCGATAATCAAATATTAAAATGTTTGCCAATCGATCCTGTTAAAGAGAATTATGTTCGAACCGTTAAGAATGCCTGCTATTCATTGGTCAATCCAACTCCTTTGGATAATCCTCGATTGGTTTGTTATTCAACAAATGCTCTTCGTTTGTTGGATTTAAATTCCGATTCGTTGAATGATGATGATGATTATGCTATCAAATGTTTTGCCGGGAACACAGTGATTCCTGGATCTGAACCGGCAGCTCATTGTTATTGTGGTCATCAATTCGGCATATTCGCTGGCCAACTTGGCGATGGTGCAGCCATTTATTTGGGTGAAATCATCAACTCACATCATGAACGGTGGGAATTACAATTGAAAGGTGCCGGGCCAACTCCATATTCACGTGATGCTGATGGTCGAAAAGTTTTACGATCAAGTTTACGAGAATTTTTATGTAGTGAAGCTATGCATCATCTTGGAATCTCTACCACAAGAGCTGCTACTTGTATTGTATCGGATACAAAAGTCTTACGTGATCAATTTTATGATGGTCATCCAAAATTGGAACCTTGTACGGTGATATCGAGAATCGCTCCAACATTTCTACGATTTGGATCTTTTGAAATTGTTCGTAAACTAGATCCAGCTTCAGGTCGTTGTGGTCCGAGTGTTGGAAATCATCAATTATTACGAACGATGGTCGATTTTGCAATCAGATCTTATTTCCCTGATGCACAGGATGCAAATGAATCACCTGTCGAAAAATATAAAAATTTCTTTCACGATGTTGTTAACCGAACCGCAAAACTTGTTGCCCGTTGGCAAGCATTCGGATTCGTACATGGTGTTCTCAACACGGATAATATGAGCATTTTAGGTTTGACAATCGATTATGGCCCATTCGGTTTCCTAGATCGATTCGATCCTGATCATATACCAAACACATCTGATCATGATGGACGATATCGTTTCAAAAAACAGCCAGAAATGTGTCTATGGAATCTATTGAAATTTGCTGAAGTTTTAGAACCATTGGTCCCATTCACAGAGTTGAAAACAATCATCAAAGATTCTTATTACGAAACTTTTGCCAACGAATATATCGATATAATGAGACAAAAGTTTGGCCTGTCGAAAAAAATTACCGAAAATCTTGATAATGATGAAATTTTGAGCGATAAAGAGCTTATTGAAAAATTTCTCGAAACACTTGATCTTGTTGGTGGTGATTACACCAATTGTTTACGATATCTAAATATTTTAATCAGTCCTGGATTGGATGAACATGACGATAGTATGGAAAGATTGAAGAATGAATTAATGAAACAAACAAGCAGTTTTGAAGATGCTAAAACATTCTATGAAAAATTTATTCATTCACCAATGGCTTATATGAAAATGGTTTTGTTGCAAAGTTTTCCAAATCAATCGCCAGATGAAGACATGATATCATTGTTACAGAAGATTGAACGCTACAAATATTTGAATGTAATTTTTTTTTTTTTTTTGATTTATTTAATTTCTCTCATTCCTGACACAATTGATTTTTTTTTTTAATTTTTTTAAATTAGGAAATTGATGAACACGAATATTTGGAACAATGCCAGAATTATTGGAATGAATGGCTTATTGCCTATGTTAAACGTATTGAATTTGAAACAAAAAATTGACCGATAAAGATGGATTGAACAAATATGATAATGAACGACGAATATTAATGAACTCTGTGAATCCTCGATATGTATTACGTAATCATCTTGTTCAGAAAGCCATCATGAAAGCTGAACAAGAAAATTTTGATGAAGCCCGACGACTACTACAAGCATTGGAAAAACCGTTTGATGAAAATTCAAATTTCGATGATTACACTGAACGTCCATCTCGATCAATGTGTGAACTTCGTGTTTCATGTTCCTCGTGATAATTTTGTTTTATTTTTTTTTGTTTTATTATTATTACATATATTTTATTCTTTCCATGTTATTTTGTTGAAATAAAATTAAAAAAAAACTTAATGATGAAATAGTCGAGTATTAGTGTGTATCAATGTCAAATTATGTTCTTTACAAGCTTCGATGACAGATTTATCACCAACTGAGCCACCCGGACTGGCTATATATTTGACACCGGATTGACGAGCACGATCAATATTGTCACGGAAAGGAAAGAAGGCATCTGAACTGATGGCTACGTTGTTCATTTTGCCTATCCATTCTTTTCGTTCAGCCTTTAGGTTTTTAAAAAAAAAGAATAAAGAATTAGTATGTCCAATGATTCAATTATCAAAATCGTGCAACACATACCTCGGTCAATAATGATGGTGGATTTTCGAATGAATTGTTGAATGTTTGTTGATCCATTTCGGTACCAACCACTCCAAGTACATAGGCATCAATAAGATTAGAAATTTCGGCTCGTTTTACCGTTTTTTTGAATTGAGCATTTATGATTTTCGGATGTTGACGAAGCCACCAATTTTCTGCTTTATCTCCTGCCAATCGTGTACAATGAATTCGTGATTGTTGGCCAGCACCAATACCAATAACTTGACCATCACGAGCATAGCATACAGAGTTGGATTGTGTATATTTAACAGCAACCGTAGCAACGATAAGATCACGAAGAGCCTCTTTAGTAAGCTAACATAACGAATATAGAAATGAGTTGATGATAGAGTCACATGAATATATAAAATTAATTTCTCTCACCTCTCCAGATTTAACGATAACTTTTTCATCGCTAAACATATTTTCATCGATGACTGCATCGTTTCGTCTCTGTTCCATATAAATACCGAACAATGTTCTTGTTTCGGTCAATTTGGGTTCATAATCAGGATCCATTTTCAGAATACAGTAAGCACCATTTTTCTTTTTCCTCAAAATTTCCAATGCTTTTTCATCGTAATCTGGTGCAATGATACCATCAGATACTTCTCGCGAAATGATTCGAGCTGTAGTAGCATCACATTTATGTGATAAAGCAGCAAAATCACCAAATGATGACATTCGATCGGCACCACGAGCACGAGCATAAGCGGTAGATATTGGTGTCAAATCATTAGCGATATCATCGACCATGCAGACTTTAAGCTGTTCACGGCTCAAAGGAACAGCTACGGCAGCTCCAGCAGGACTTACGTGTTTGAATGATGCAGCTGCTGGCATATTCAATGCTCGATATAATTCTCGTACCAATTGGTATGCATTGAAAGCATCGCAAAGGTTAATGAAACCTGGAGCTCCATTTACAACAGTGACTGGTAATCGGTCACGCATTGTGTATATCTGAGCTGGTTTTTGATGCGGATTCATTCCATAACGAAGATTAAGCTGTGAGATACCATTGCTGAATTGTTTGCGGAAATAATTCGAAATGGCCTCGTCATATTCGGCAGTATGATTGAAAGCCTTTATAGCCAATCGTTTACGTGTTTCTTCTGAAATCGATCCATTGGACAACAGTTCATCACCAACTATTTGATAATCGGCTGGATCGCAAACAATAGCGACACGTGCAAAATTTTTGGCAGCAGCTCGAAGTAATGTAACACCACCAATATCGATTTGTTCGACAGCATCTTCCACCGAAACTCCTTCACGGCTAATGGTTTGAACGAATGGGTACAAATTGCATACAACAACACTAATATATTGATAGTTTTGTTTTTGCATATCTTGCATATCCGAAGCAATTTTTCGTGCCAAAATACCACCATGAATAGCCGGATGCAATGTTTTCACACGACCACCCAACATTTCTGGAGCACCAGTTATAGCTGATACATCCGTCACAGGCATACTTGCATCACGAATTGCTTTGGCTGTACCACCACTTGCCACCAATTTTAATCCAGCCTGATGAAGTTTTTTAGCAAAATCAATCAAACCATTTTTGTTTGATACACTTAATACAGCTGAACACAATAATAAAGAATATATATAAAATGATGATGATGATGAGAAAATAATTTTTACTCATTAGTGTGGTAAACTTACCTAATTCTCCAGACATTTCTTTTTTTTTTTTTTTTTTTTTTTTTGGTACAAAATTTTTTGATGAAAAGAAAAATATTTTTTTTTAAAAAAATAAGGCGATTTGTATTGAAATTTGATTAAGAGTAATTTCTGAAAAAATTTTGTTTATATAGTTTATTTATAGTATATGAATATGTTACATTTTATCACCATCATCATCATTCTTTTTCATTTTTTTTGATCGATCGATCGAATGTTTGAAATAGCACAATAATAATACACGTTTCGACAACATGTTGTCATCAAGGTTATATGAGAGTGGTATAGTGTGGATATACTTTTTTTTCTTATTCTATGATGATATCATCATCATCATCATCATCATCATCAGCTATCATCTGGCATCAAAAATCAATTGGTAATGATGAGGTGATCATTATAGAAAAAAAAAATCCAAACAGCAAGTTTATCTTTTTATTCCATAAACACACACACACACACACACACACTCGTACACATATCGTACGAATGAACCGATTTTCAAAATTAAATGCCACATTATTGAATAGTATTTTCCCAAAAAAAAAAATTCGACGGATATCAAATGATATCATAAAGATGGTGATGATGATGATGATGAAAAAAAAATCTAAGACAAACAAATCAATGAAATGAAAACAAAAAATCAGTAGTTGACTCGTATCGTATCACAATTTTTTTTTTTTTATATTTCATACGATAAACTCTAGAAAAAATTAAACAAACACAATTCGAATGTGCAATTTCAATTTTCAATTTATTCCTCAAAAAAAAAAAAAAAAAATGAATGTTTCAAATGACATGATCATCATCATGTTTAGTTTAAATTAATCATAAACACTTGAAACGGCATTAATTAATCGACCACAATTATTATTATTATTATTATAATAATAAATGGGTCGTTGTGGTAAATATGTTCGAAGACGAGGATTATTATAACGGATACAATTTCTTGTTCTTATTGTGATTGAATTACGAAAACATTGTCTGGACCAATTATTCTGTTGTTGTAATATGTATCGATTATTATATGATATATTTATTAGACATCTTTCCAATTGTATCAATGAATATTGATTACAATTTATAAATAAAAAATTTCGTTGACTTGATGAACAAACACGTATCATTTGAATGATTGGATCATTAAGTTTTGCTGCTTGTTGAAAACATTGTGCAATCCGATTATGTGTTATAGGATTCGAACATGTATTGTCTATAATTGTAATGAAAAATCATTTATCATTTATATACAAAAATACAAATTGAAAACTGAAAATTCAAAAAAAAAAAAAGATTTACTCACCACAATAAGCATTAATGGCTAATATTGAATCTTGGACAATACCAGTATTTCCAGCAATTATTGATTGATATTGACCAAATACCATATTTGGATACAAAATAATGGCTAAATAATGGACGGTGATTAACAGGAAAAAATGCAGGTGATTATAATCATAGTGGATTTTTGCCATCATCAAAAAAAAGATTCGTGTTTATCATTCGTTGTGTATATCATTCATTCAATATGTCGAGATTATCAAAATTATTATTACGATTCTTGCCAATAGATCGATGGTACTTTTATAATCATACCATCACTGTTGTTGTTTTCTTTTTTCTATGACATTTCTATTTACATAAGGACAGTTTGTGTTTTTGTGTGTGTGTGTGCACAGCTCCTGTTTCGAATGTTTTGATGTTATTTTTTTTCAATTTATTTACCTTCGCATAAATATAACAGAATGATAGTTTAATTTTGTTTTTTTTTAATTATCTATTTTTTTTTTAATTGATTGTTTTCAATTTCATTGGTCGATTGATTTTTTAGAGAGATGATGATTTACCATTTCATGGTTGATTAAATTGAATAAATATTTTTTTTCTCCCCAGATTTTGCTATATATTTTGATGTTTTTTTATAATGACCTCGACATTGTATCCTGTCTGATGAAATCGACACCACGTTCAGCAATCATCATAGTTGCAGCATTTGTATTGGCATTATTGATTTTTGGCATAATTGATGCATCGATCACCCGAAGATTGTTCACCCCAAGTACCCGTAAATGTTCATCAACACAAGCACCGGTATCACTTGAATTACCCATACGACATGTGCCTGTTGATTTTTTAAAAAAAGGAAAAAAAATTATTTAAAAATCAAAGTAATTCTACACACACACACAAACATACAAGTAGGATGATAGGAAGTTAGTGTAAGTGTTTGAGCATAACAAGCTAGATAAGTATAGCATTTATAATATGGTCTATCTGGACAAAATTGACATCCAGGTATTGGACGTGGATATATTCGAGCATATTGACGGAAAAATGGTTGTTCCATCATTTCCATACCAGCACTCATCGTATCGACAGCAACGGCTAAATCATGTACATCACCATAATAATTAGGATCAATTAATGGTGCATCAAATGGATTTCGTGATCGAAGACGAACAGTTCCACGACTTCGTGGTCGATACAATGCATAGAATACATAAAAATGGCGAGAATCACCGGCCAATGGTTGAAGATATTCTGCCCATGCATCTGGATCTTGTGCATATTGAGTTAATGCTGTAGTGTCTACGGCTAAACAAAAAAAATGAATGCGTTCATAAGATCATTATCATGGTCAAACTTACGAATTTGATCAATCAAAGTAGCCATTATACCATCAGGCCAATCAGGTACATCATTTACTCGAGTTGAATGATATGTCAACACTACTGGCAATTGAGTAATAGGACCAGAATTATTGATGTAATAATTGTACAGATTTTGAACAGTCATAACATTGTTTACATCTCGATCATATTGAATAAGACTTTCATTGGTGACAAGATAATCGACCGGTATAAGAATATGATCTTGTAGTTGTTCACCTACCGGTAATTCCATTTGAACCTGTATACCTAATTCCATTAGATGTTGTCGTGGACCAATACCAGAAAGCATCATAATCTGTGGTGTATTGATAGCACCAGCAGCAAGAATTACTTCATGATTAGCTTGCACTTGATATGTTTGATTATTACGAACAAATTCAATACCATAAGCTTCCAATTGATTAGTATCAGTATTGTTTCGCAAAAGAATCCTTGTACAATGACTACGTACTAATACATGTAGATTATTACGGCCAATTGCTGGTACAATAAAAGCATTCGATGTTGATAGACGTGTATAATTTTGTGTAGAAATTGTTTGTTGAATCAAAGCTATCATAGTGAATTAATGATTTCAAAAAATGAGCTACAATGTTGTTGTTTTTTTTATTAAATAAACTTACTTGTGCCTAATTGATGTGGTCCATTAAAATCAGTATAAGGTAAACCTTGATGATTCCAACCTTCCATATATTTCAATAAAATTGGATCCGGATTTGGTGCTGATGAAACTTCAACTTGACCGGTAGTAGAATGATGGCCAGGTGCAGCCTCTACATAACGGCTATTTGTATTGTTTTCGGTACGTGTAAAATATTGTAATACATTTTCAAATGACCATTCTGAAAGACCATAATAATTAGCCCAATGATCGAAATCATATCGATGGCCACGATTATAGATTGCAAAATTAGTCGAATGTGAACCACCCATTACTTTGCCACGAGGATATACCATCTGACGGTTACGGAAGGCAAAACCTTTTAGAGGGAGAGGGCGAAAAATAATGATTTAAATGAATAAAAAATGTTAAACTTGTCCCACTTACCAGCATTAGCTTGTGGTACTGTATAATAACCCCAATCAAATTCACCAGTTTCAATATTCCATGATTCAATGGGCATATCAGTGATAACCGAAGCTGGACCACCAGCTTCAATCAATAAAACTGTTGTTGAAGCATTTTCGGTAAGTCTTCCGGCAATCAATGATCCAGATGTACCGGCACCAACAACAATGTAATCATAACTAGAATTCCATTGTGTACGACTACCGACATTATTATGGATCATTTGTCGTTGAAGTACAACGACAGCAACCGTCAATAATTGATAAGTTAACGATGGTGTAGACATTCTGGTATCATGTGAACCAGAAAGATTTGTTTGAACTTTCTACTTTAAAAAAAAAAATGCAACAGGTTTATATATAGGATTCATCATCAATAGTTTATGCGTCATGTTTACCACCATTTTTTTCAACAAACATAAAAATTTGCAATTCAAAAAAAAAACAATCGAAATTCAAAAGTCAAATGATAATGGCCACATCATTATTATTCAATGTGTTAATGATCAGGGCACATTGAAATCTATGTAGTTGGATTGATGTATTGAACAAGAAAGATAATCTAAACCATACATACTGATATATGCCATGCATGCATGCATGATGAGAAATCCTGTTCCAGGACCAAAGACGAATACTTATAATTTCCGTAATCGCATTATTATTACACAAAAGTCCGTTAGTTTTTAAGGCGCAATATTTATATCTCTTGAAATGGCCGACACGCATGCGTTATTCGAAGAAGAAAAAAAAATATCAATCTTCAGTTGGCCGAGTCATGACGCTCGCGATCACAAAATATCTTTGCCGTGTTTTTGTATGTATGTGTGTGTGTGTTTGTTTGTTTGTTGGTTTGTTTGTATTTATGTCAGTGATGAGTTTTTATATTATATATCCGTAGATCTTCCCAAAAAAAAATGGATTGATTATCAAAATTTATTCCAAATGATGATGATGATGATGATGATGATAATCAATTTAAATCATCAACGATAATAAACAACTGAAAATAAAATTGACCATTTTGTATAATCATCAATTTTGGGCTCAAATTTTAACCTGTTTTTGTTTGTTTGTTTGTTTGGATAATCGAAAGAAGATAAATTCTAAAAATAAATTTTTAAAAAAATAAATCTTATTGGCCGAGTCATGTTAAATATAATGTATTGTGTGTGTGTGTTTGTTTGTTGTTGGTTTGTTTGTATTTATGTCAGATGAGTTTTTATATTATAATCCGTAGATTCCCCATTGATTATTTATTGTTGATGATGATGATTTAAATCATGCTTCTAATCAATTTTGGGCTCAAATTTTAACCTGTTTTTGTTTGTTTGTTTGTTTGGATAATCGAAAGCAGAAATAAAATTATTCGTTAAAATAACTACCCTTGTTATAGAGAAAAAAAATTCCATTTTTTTTTTGTTGACTGATTTGTGTGCTTCTAATTGCTTGCCAATTTTAATTTGGAAAAACGCCTCATCAAAAGGAATAACGTTCATGTTTTGATTGATAACAATCAGCTATTATTGCAAAAGCCCAATAATTTGTCATCAACAGGCCAAATTAAATCACCATGCATTGAGATTTTTTCAGCGTTTTGTTTTGTTTTGTTTTGTAGTTGATTTTGATTTTCAGTTTTTATTCCAATTTAATTAAAATAAAATAATCGTCTGAATTTACATTTACATTAAAATGACTGTTGATTTTCAAGATCATTTTTGGGTAAGTTTCATGCTGGTAGATTTTTTTTTTTCGTTTAATTAACCAGAAAAAACCGCATTTTCATTGAAACAACAGGGTGATAAACAAAATGGATTCGATGTCCTGTATCAGAATTTGAAATTTGGCTCATCAGCTGTGAAAGAATTGGCCGATTTATTACGGTCACGGGCGTTTCTTGAAGAATATAACAATAATTTTCTCACTAAATTATCACGTAAAGCAAACAGTCCACAGTTTGGGTAAGTTGCCATTGATGATGACGATGATGATTAGTGTTGACTTTTATTTTAATTTTTCAAAAACTCACAGTACCTTCCAGCCAATATGGCAAATGTTAAAAACATCAACAGAAAAACTTTCTTCAGTTCATCTGGAAACATTGCAACGTCTTAATCAATTGATCAAAGAGATTAATAAATATTGTGATGAACATCATCGAAAACAGAAACAGATAAAAAATGAAGAAACATCAACGATTGAAGCCATAAATGAACTAAAAGAAACGGTAACTGCATTGAATAAAGCAAAAGAATTTTATTATTCCAAAACGATCGAAATTGATCGATTACGAAAAGAGAATGCATCACAAAAGGATATTGAAAAAGCTGAAACACGAACAAATAAAGCCTGTAAGTTTTGAGCATTTGAAATTTTTTTCCCATTTTTTAAATTAAAAATTTCGTTCATTCATTCGTAGGTATTGAATATCAAAATCTTATTGAAAAATATAGAAAAGCAAAAGAAGAATTTGAGAACAAATTTTGTCATTCATGTCAGAAATTCCAGAAAATTGAAGAAGATCATATAAACGAGATGAAAAACTATTTGACAATTTATTCAGAAATACTTGAAAGTGGTCATGCACTGATGGGTCAGGTTTATAAAGAATTTCGTCATAATTTTACCGAATTGTCTACAACAAAATTATTGGAAACATTTATACATTCGAAAGCAACTGGAACGAATCGTCCAGGTAAGTTATCCTCTGATTATACGGTTTGCTGCAATTTTTTTTTTGCTTTGTAATAATAACAATTAACCCCTGTCAACACAAATATAATTTTATTTCATGCACCTGTTACCTGATGATTCGATGATAATGCTTTTTTCTTATCCTTTTTATTTAACCCGTGCTACATAGCTGTCATACAATTCGAAGAAGCAAATGCTATAAATTCGGCTAATCAAATTTCGAACCAACATCAATCGGCTACAAATTCCAATTCATCCATAACAACTACAACGATGACTGGAAATTCCAAAAAAGATTTGATCCAATCAACTAATAATAATAATACTACCACAAATGCTGTTAGTTTATTCAATGCATCCAATCCACCACTATATTCATCTAGCGACCTTGCAGAATTTTTCCCAGTAGTGTCGACACAATCATCGAATTTGAATGATAATTTTAAAAAAGAAAACAATACGAATAGTAATAATAACAACAACAGTAGTAACAGTATTATAACGGATTTCGCTGATCATCATTTGACGAATACAATTAATAATCACTCGATGCCTTTGAATTTATCACAATCATCATCGTCTTCTATTCAACCACTACCGTCCATGTCCATTGCTTCGAATCATAGCACAATTTTGGATAATAATAATATTAACAAAAAAGATGGTAAGGATAAGTGTTTTTCATCAGATTTCCATCCATGGTCTTTCCTTAAAATTCGTATTCCGTTCTTCTTTTTTCAATCTATTTGTTTATTGTGATGGTTTTTTTATCGTTTTGCTGGTTTATCTCTTTGTTCTATCTATTTTTTATTTTCCCTTTTTCTATTCTATATATATCCTGTTCGTAATGTAAAATTAGAGCCAGAAAAATTGGCCTATGATGACAAAGATGATCCAATTAAAAGTTATCCAAAGTGTTATTCAACAATCAATTCATTAGAAGGTTTTGTTTCACAATCGAATTATAATCAAAACAACAACAACAACAACAGTGCCATGCTTGGTGATACAAAATCATCATCATCGTCATCAAAAGATCATCATAAAAGTTTTCCTGATCTTATCCATCATCACCATCATCATCTTACGCTGAGTCGAACATCTAAATGTAAATTAATTTCGAAACAATTTAGTTTTTTAGATTAGAATAGAATATTCTGGCTAACACAAACATGAATTTTTGTTTCTACTATCACAAATTCTTCTTTTTTTTTACTTTTCCTTTCTCTTCTCATTTTTTTTAATTTTGACATATCGAAATTTTAACAAGAGTAACTTATCCATTTGTTCTCTTTGAATTTTAGGGTTTTTACGTGGCAGAAAAGAAAAGAAAAATAAAAATAAACAAAAAGATTTGGATGAAGAATCGCAAAATAGTTTAAAAACTGGTATCGGTAAATTGGACAATGCTAGTGCAGGTTTCATGTCAATGAATGATAATGGCAATAGCATTAATCGAAAAGAATTAATGATTGATTCCGAGGGCTATACGATTCGACCACCTGATCCGGTTAAAGATGAAAGCTTTTCCAGTAGTGATTCAGATTCTGATGCGGATGAAAAAGAAAAGAAAATTTTTGTTAAAATCAATCCTTTGTCTACAGTATCGATGGTTGATAATCAACAATTGATGCTTAGCGCTGCTGCTCTTACATTGGCACCATCATCAAATACGAGCCGTCGTTCACGTGAATCGACCAATTCATCACCATCATTGAATCAAGAACGTTCAACACCATCTTCATCATTTAGTAATTCAGGTTTCAATAAAACAAACGATTTATTCAATCTGTTTTCAGACCCACCTAAAACATCACAACAATCGAATGATTCGAATTCCATGACAACTACTGTAGCAAAAACAAGCGATTCATTGAGCACACCAATAATGTCTACGAAAATTGATCGTTATGCTGCCTTTAGTGAATTATCGATAACCAATGAATCTTCAATGAAAACAAGCGATAGCGAACCAATTAAAACTTCCGATACTGCGACACCATCAACATCTACATTCAATGTTCTGCCATTGCCACCTAAAAGTTCTGATACTAATTGCCATTCGTCATCAATGTCTGCATCGATTTTGACGACGACATCGATTCCCTCGTCGACCTTATCGTGTTTAATGCCAAAATCTACTTCGGCCTCATCATTCAATACGAATTCATTCAGTATCTATAAACCTCAACAACCACCACCGCTTCCTCAGCATCATCATCATCATCAACTATATAAATCACAACAAACAACATCATCATCATCATCATCATCAATGACAATGAATGGAATGATGTCGCGAGCTGAAAGTATAATTTCCCTATCCAGTGATTTCCGTATGACACCGATATCTCTTTGTTCATCACGTGATTCATCACCATTAACGATTGGAATGTCTGATACAATTCCTGTTGCATTAGCTTTTCAAGAATCTGTTGGTTCCTGTTTTAAAGGGATGGATGAGAATCTTTCTAGAATAACAATTATCGGTTGTATTAAGATTGCTTTTTCAGCCGGTATAATACAAGTGCTAACCACGAATCCTTATTTACCTCAATTGACATTCAAATTAAAACATAAGAAATGTTTGGAAAAAATAATTCTTTCAAAAGATCTTATCGAACAGTAAGTTTTCATTTATTATTCAGATGTTTGTGTAAAAAGATTTCTCATGAAAAAAAATTTTAATTTTTCTTGCTTAGAGTTGATACAAAAGATGATTATAATACTTATGAAGTGAACATGAATAATCTACAAACGACAATCAAACGTTTACATGATCAAACACCGAATGCACGATATTATAATCTGGATATTGTTAAATATCAAGTTCAATCAAAGTATGGAGCAAAAAATGCTCCATTACAAATAGTTTCTCATTGGAAATATGATGAAAATCAAACCAATTTAAAGATTGATTACAAATATAATCCATCAGCTTTCTCGGTAGCTCCACATCCATTACGAAATGTTCTGTTTACGGCCAACATTGATTCGAATGTTATTTCGATGGTTTCACAACCGTTTGGCAAATGGTTTGTGTAGCCAGTTTTTTTTTATTCTTATCTTTATAACCATGAATATTATTCAATAAAAATATAGGGATTCGCTTACTAAACAAGCAACATGGAAATATCCTGAAATATCACAAACAACAGAGAATTCTGGTCTTGGTTCAATCAGAGCTAAATTCGATATTTCCAATGGTGGTCCTTCATGTCCATCATCGGTGTATGTACAATTTCAATGTGCTGATACGATTCTTTCCGGTGTGGATTTTGAATTGATTGGCAGTGGTTATCGTTTATCATTAGTCAAACGACAATTTTGTTCAGGTAAATTTTTATTATTATTATAATAATCAATACTTTTACACAAAAAAATATTAAATTCTCATTCATTCATTCATTAGGTCGTTATTATTGTGAACCAGGAACCATAACAAAACAGCAATAATATATAGTGAGATATGATATAACATACTTTTTTTTCTCTCAGTAATGAATCACCGATCAATATAGTGGATATGTTTTTTTTCTCTTGATTCTGGATTATCATTTTTTTTCGTTTGAATCAAATATTGGTTTTTTATAATTTTTTTTTTTTTTTGTTCGAAGAGAAGAAAATCAAGCATCATCGTGATATTTTATTTCAAAATTTATTATTATGCATGCATGTATGTTATTATTATTTGAATATTTTGAAATGATATGAATGATGAATTTTTTTTATATATAAATGAAATTTTTATTTATTTTTAATTAATAAAAAATTTTTTTTTTTTTGAAAAATTGAATTTTTTAAAAAAAGTTACGTCATTTTTGAATATTGACTGATTGTTTTCTGACCTCGTTATTTTGGTTTTCGAACGCGCCAGAATCTATTCAATTGAATGAAGGAAAAAATATTCTATATAGCATGGAGCCCATCATTTCAGTATGAATGTCGATTCGATTTTTGTTTTTTGTTTTTTGGGACAATCCGCAACTTGCAATATTCTTCTGATTTTGAAGAACAGTCCAAATTCTGCATTTTCTATGATCTCTCTCGTTGTGTGTGTGTCTTTGTCGATTGATAATTTATGATGAGTGAAAATAGTATGTGTGTGTGTATTTCATCAACAGAAACAAATCAACGTATTCAAAAGTCATAAAGTTGAATTAAGAATTTCTTGTTATACTCTTTCAATCATTAAAATTCAACATTGACAGAAAATTAATCTGTTTTTTTGATTGTTTTGATTGGTCAATGAATTAATGTCAAAAAAAAAGATTGCAATATTGCTCTATTCGTCTTTTCATCATCAATTGCTTTGTATATGTAGTTGTAGGTGGGTCATTCTCAAACCTTTTTTGTATTTTACTTTATATATAATCATATATTGTGGTTATATTTACTATTTCTAAATAGTAATTTCTAATCATAAATGAAATTGAGTAAATTTCTCTTGTCATCATGTATGCAATAATGTAATTTGTCGTTTTCCTATCAATCGAATCGAATGGGCATATCCGATCAAATCATCATCAAACTTATTAATTTGTACAGCCAAATCTCGAAACTTTATTTAAAACATAAACAAATAATATAGTTGCATGCTGTATATACAAAGACATCATCAACGAGAGAAAACATCGACATACTTTTCGCTTATTCACACTATTTTTCAACCATCCACCAAATTCTTGGCAAATATATCAACCAAGAAAATTCTGCTCTGATTCTTTAATGAAAAAAAAATTTTTTCCAACGAAATTCATTTGACTGTGTCGTAATAAAAAAAATCATTAAAAAATTCAAGAATTCACCATTCTTTTATCGAATTATATAGCTCATCCATTTCCTCACTCAATCATGTTCGATACTATCGATGATATTGAAATCAACGAAAAGGTAATTTTTTTTTGTTTTGTTGAAAAATTAATTTGCTACACTTTTTTTTCGGTCATTTGAAAATGTTTCCTGATGATGATGATGAAAAGTTATATTGTTGTTATAGTTGCTGCTAGCCAATCATGATCATCTTCATTGTTATTATTATTATTGCTTGACCATGATGACTACATTCATTCATATAATTATGATTTTCCATTATTATTAATGATGATGATGATGATGATGATTAAAATGGCAAGTCAGAGCATAATTAGTGTCAAAATGTATGATATTCTGGTCGACAATTGCAATTGGTAATAGACTAAACAAAACAAAAAAACAGCAACAACAAGCAATCTATGGATTTTCTCTTTACAATCCATATTAATTTGACCAAATGAAAAACCATACTCTTTTTTAACAGTATATTTGATATATCACGCCATTCAATAATCCATTCTTATAATCCATCATCATCATCATCATCACCACCACTACAACCATTTGGTATGCAATTTTACAGACGTTTTATAAATGATGACAACGCCTATGAAACCGAATCTATTACACACACACAAACATAATCATAGATTGCTTGCAATTCACCATTATTTCAGTCTTTTTTAGTGTATCGTTAAATCCATCGCTGCCTGAAAAAGAGAGAAAAAGAGAACAGACCAAAAGCCAAAGATCTCTTTTCTTTTTCTCTCTCTCTCTCTCTCATATGATTGTCACGGTTAAGTGGATTCACAAAAAAAAAAAAAAAATTTAGTCAGGCCAGGACATTCTTGAATTCAGATCGAATTGAATTGTAAATGAAATGGGCATCATCATCACATAGGTAATATGTAGCATTGTTTAGTATACGAGAGTCTTCGAGACCAGTTTTTTTTGTTTTGTTTCGCTTTTGGTTGTTGTTGAATTGACTAGCCTTTCTGATCGTCTGATCAGTGATGAAAACTGCAGTTTGTGTGTGTGTGCGACCAGCGAAAAAAGTTATATGAAAATCGCCGAGCCGCTTTTTATATCAAACACATCCACACCATGTATTGCAGATATTCGGTTCGTCGATATCAATGAACGATGAAATGAACCAAAGACAAAAACAAAAAAGTAAATGAGCAACAACAACAACAACAACAACAAGCCCACATAAACATCTATTTTTCGATCATGATTGTCAAGTGTTTCATATCTTTATATAATCTGTTTTATATGTGTGAGCATAATTCAAAAAGATTTTGTGTGTTTTGTTTGTTTGTTTGTTTTTGTTTGTTTGTTTGTACAATTCTTATTCTACGTTTTAACCTGAAACGTTTTCATTATTATGTTGATGATATGAAGAACATTAAGATTTTGGATTCAATTCAATTCTTAAATAGACAGAATTCAACTTTTTCAAAATATTATTGATTGATTTACAATTGTGATGCTTCATTATTTTTTTCTGAAATAATCTGTCATTTCATTCCTTCATTCATTATTGTTGTTGTTGATGATTAATTAATCGATCAGGCACTATAAATATTAATGATTCAAAACACACACACACACACACACACATCATCATCATCATCCAAATTGATAATTCATCATCATCGACATTTCTTTCACACTAATTTTGTGATAATTGATGCGATTACCTTTTTTTCTGTGTTAGTGTGATGACAGACCACTTTCAACCCGTTTTTTTTACAATTCAATTTATTTAACATCGAGCAACAAGAGAATGGAAATTGATTTGTGATATTTTTAAATGCCCAATTCTTTCTCTCTACACAGATATGATATATAATAATGATGTTTTCTTGATCTTTGATCCAATCAATCAGTTTGTGATATCATTTTAAGCCCCTTTAGTTTTCAATTTCCAACAGAAAAAAAAAATTTTTGTTTTATTTCACCATTCAAATGTTATCCACAGTTCGATGACAATCAATCGATCGATCCACCTACACAAATAGGAAGAACAAAAAAATCATTCGTTCCAGACAAATATTCATCAATAAAACATTAACATAATGTCATATTATAGCAAGGTTTGTTTGCTTGTTTGTTTGTTTGTGTGTGTGTTTGTTTGTCATGTTATGACTTGTCATTACAAAAAAAATTGGGTGGATCATTACATTTTCATTAGAACGATTGACCATTAATATAATGATCTATTATAGCTAATTTATGTATAACTTTTTCCGTTTTTTTTCTCTCACTTCCTTCCGTATCCAAAATTTCTATTCATTTTCTTCTTAATTGTTATTATTATTACTTAGGCCCTTTTTAAAGGTGTTCGTGTATCAAAATATCGTCATGTTTATGGAATGGTTGCCAGAAAAGATCAATGTTATGATAATGTACAGATAACGAAAAATGCACATGATAGCAATTTTTGTGCAGCTAATCCAAAGGTAAATTTTTTAAAAAAAAAAGTAAAAAGTTTTGAATTTGCTTGAATCACACACACATGCACTTTTTCATTTTGTCAAAATTTCGAAAATTAGTTATTTTTATGTGTGTGTCAATAACCTCCGAATATATTATCTCGTTAGCTCACACACGAGTATAGAATCATCAAATCTAATTTTGTTTTTTTTTATTCTATTCAATTGTCGTGTGATTATATTCCTTAATAATAATAATATTCTTTATTTATTTACTTTTTCTCTCATCAACCCATTCATTCATCATTTATTCACACAGTTTTTGGCAATCGTGACTGAATCGTGTGGTGGTGGAAGCTTCATCATCATACCTATCGATAAAGTAAGTTGCATTTTTTCTACATTTTTCATGACCGAATTTTTTATACAGAGTATAAAAACACACCACATATGTAGAGAAAAAAAATACGTCAGGATAACTGTTCTCATTCATCATCATAGATGATCAAGGAATTAGAGTATATTAAATGATTTTTGTTATTGGATATTGTTAATAATGCAATCTATCGATTCAAACAACAACAAATTATTATTATTATTAGCAAACAAAAGGACTAAATCAATCTAAAGGTTTTAGATGGCAGAAAAAAGTGTGTGAAGTACAGAATGACCAATTCAATTTTGATGGTTAATTTAACCCCTTCTAAATGTCATTTGCATATAACTAACGTTATGATGATGAATTTATTCATGATATTGATAATCATCATTATGATGATGATGATGATGATAATAATAATAGGTTCATTTACCCAACATTCAAGATGAAAAATACAGGGGGTAAAAGAAATAAATCCATTTCAGCAAATGACTCCATTTGGAAAAATAATTTATTATTGAAATGATTTTTCAATGTTAATGGACTTGAATGATGATGATGATTATTATTATTATTATCATGATCTAGCCAAAAGTTGATTGAACCATTTTGTCGAACTCAAAAAAAAACTCAAAAACACCCACTTTTGATTGTAGAATCGCATTATTTGTAGATGTGTTATAGATGATGATGATCTAGATTTATGAGTTTTTTCCTTCTTTTTATGATATCGATACTTACCTTGGTTTCGTGTCATTTTTTTTGTTCGAATGAAAGAAGTTTTTTTGTTGTTGAATGTCGTTAATTTGATTCACATGTGAATATATATAATATTTGATACTTTTGAACTAGATATATAATATATTTATAGATCCAGACGACTGGTTCATTTGCATACATATCAAATCACTAAATACATTTGTGTTTATTATGTATATGACACCAATCTCTCTCTTCTAAATATATGTCTTACATGATGAATAAATTAAGACAAATGTTGAAAAACAAAACAGAAAATGAACAATGCAATTTTATAGAATTAAGAAAAAAGATTAAACTTTTAATCATGAAAACAAAACGAAAACAAAAAAAAATTCAATTAATCAGCTCAAATTTATTGAATTTTCTTCCTACAATATGTGATGACCATATTGCTGTGAATTTATCTTTTCTTTTTTTTTTTTTTCTCTGCCATAAATTAATGTCCAGTCGTATTATGAATATTTAAAATGCTTCAATGATTTTATTATTGAATGGTGGAAGCAATATGTTAGGAATAGATTTTTTTTTTTCACTGGTTAATTGAATGATATTTAACCATTGTGATTATCAATTATGAAAACAAAATTCGGTCAAGAAAAAAATTAGTTATTAATAATAATCATATAAATGACCGTTGTAAATTTTTGTTTTTTACTAGGCTGGACGTATTGATTCACATGCAGGACGTGTAACCGGTCATCGTGGTCAAATCTATGATATTAAATGGAATCCATTCAACGATAATGTTATTGCATCATGTTCGGATGATACGACAATCAAACTTTGGTATATACCGGATGAAGGTCTACTTAGCCGTAATATGCAACAACCTATTATTGAATTGAGAGGTCATAAACGTCGAGTAAATTTTATTGAATGGCATCCAACAGCTGATAATATACTTGTATCGGCTGGTTCGGATCATTTGATGATCGTATGGAATACATTGACTGCTGATGTTTGTCGTGTAATCACCTGTCATACTGAAACCATTCATTCAATGTCATTCAATCGTGATGGAAGTCTAATAGCAACGACAAGCAAAGATAAAAAATTGCGAATCATCGACCCAAGATCCACACAAGTTGTTAATGAAGGTCTTTGTCATCATGGAACCAAAGCATCGAAAGTTGTTTATTTGGGCGATTCACAACGATTATTCACCGTCGGTTTCTCTCGCTACAGTGATCGTCAATGGGCTGTTTGGTCGGAACGTGATCTAACTTCACCGCTTACAATCGAAAATATTGATTCATCATCTGGTGTTTTATTTCCCTATTATGATCATGATACACGTATGGTTTATGTAGCCGGTAAAGGTGATGGCAATATTCGATATTATGAAACTACCGATGAACATCCCTATTGTCATTATCTTTCACAATTTTTATCCGGATTTCCACAACGTAGTCTTGGAATGATGCCTAAACGTGGATGTGATGTTTACAAATGTGAAATTGTTCGTTTCTACAAATTACATGCAACCAAACATATTTGTGAGCCCATTTCGATGATAGTACCACGGAAATCTGAACAATTTCAATCAGATGTTTTCCCTGATACTGCTGCACCAACGCCAGCTTTGACGGCCGATCAATGGCTTAGTGGTCAGAATCGTAATCCTGTTTTGTTCAATCTAAAGGTATATTTTACACTTTCGAGAGATTACATTAAAGCTTAAATTTAATCCTTTCTATCGATTTTAATAGACAGGCGCAGGTGCTAAAACCAACAAACCTATTTTTATTCAACAATCATTTAATCCGGTTATCAAAACAGCCATTGGTGAACGCAAATTGGAATTCATATCGAAAGCAAATGCTGTTGATTATCGGGAAAAGGATTACATTGATGATAATAATGATGATGATGATGAAAAGCCTCAAAAGCAACAGGCTTTATCTAATGGTCATAAACAGGAAAAACCACGACAGAATGGCCATTGTTTAAATAACGAGCAAAGAAAAGTGAATGGTTCAACACCGCGAAAAAGTCATTCAAATGATCATTTCGAAACGAATGGAAAACAAAATTTCATTCAATCGAAACCAATGAAATCTGAATCAGCATTGGCACAAAATTTTCGTGAATCAATCACGAAATCATCATCAAATGTTCCGTTACGATCTCGATTACCATGGATCAAGGATGATGATGATCTCAATCGAGATGCTGAACAATTATCGAAACCAATGTGTGATATAGTCAGTTTAAATCAAGTCAAACATCACCTGCCACCTGCTATACCAAATATGATCACGCTCAAAGATGATGATGATGATGATGATGATGATGATTATGATCAAGATGATGATGATGATGATGATGATGATGATTCGAATGATTCGGCAGCAGCCGATGCAAATACAACCGATGATAGCATTGCTGAAGAATTAGCCTTTTCTGCCACTATAAGCCATACAAATAATAGTAATGAAAGCTTTAATACCACCACATCTACCACCACTGAAGGTGAAAATAACGGAGATCGTGTAGATAATAATATTTCACCTATTTGCATGAAAATTAATAATAAAGATCTCGAAGAAGAAGAAGAAGAATTGGATCCAAATCCAAAAAATGAACGAGAGGTTAGTTTGTGGATAATGTTAAAATTTTAATATCATTCTTTTTTTTCCTTTTGACAGCTTTGGCGAGCGTTCCAAGAACAACGTGCTATCATACATAAATTACAATCACAATTGAATGAAAAAAACAAACAAATCGAAGAACTTGAAAGTATACTGAAAAACATTAACAACCGATCAAATTGATTAATTGATGACTGAAGAAAAAATACTTGACAATTGATTGATCTTTATTTAATTATTTACAATCACATACACACACACACAAAGATTTTATTTTATTTGCATTTTCAGTTTGTTTTTTTTTTCTTGTTTTGGACTTTTGTGTATAATTCTTATTTGATCAGCTGACAATAATCTTCATAACTGAATCATTCACATGACAAAAAAAACTTAAATTACGATTTTTTAGCAGGCAATAATATATTGACTCATCATTATTAATTGCTCATCATTTAAAAAAACAATAACAACATTTAGTTAATTCGATTTTATGAATTAAATTGAATTATTATTATTATCATCATATATTAAACTTTGACATGTTTACTATGTTTACGTGCAACACGATTAACCATTTCAAGTGTTGATAATAAACCAGTTCCTGGACCACATTCATATGTTTGTGGATATGGTGTATCATCTGGTCGATCATACATTCGATGTAGAATTTGTTCCCATTTTACTGGTGAACAAATTTGTAGTGCTAATTTTTCACGTATTTCATTCACAGAACGATAAATTTTAGCATCATAATTTGAATATACAGGTATTAATGGTATTTCTAGATGAATCTTTTCTAGTACTTTTTCCAACACTTTTTTGGCTGGTTTCATTAAATTTGTATGAAATGCACCAGAAACAGGTAAACGTCGCATTCGTTTGATACCAAAATCTTTTGCATTTAGCTGCAAGAATTTGATGGCTTCTTCATGACCAGCAATCACTTTACAATGGGGAAACAGGTGATTAGCTATTGAACAAACGGCATGTTCTTCGGGTATCTGTAATCGTTTGCACCATTCTCGGGCAGCTTGACATGCCATTTTGATTTCAGCATCAGCGTACAAAAATACTGTACACATTGCTGACGGTACCGTTTCTGAAGCTAATTGCATAGCTTCGGCACGAAGTTTGACAAGACGTAAACCATCTTCAAATGACATGGCATTAGCAAACACTAACGAAGTTATTTCACCGATACTAAATCCAGCGGTAGCTACACATGATTCCACTTCATTTGTTTGCCTATGGCGTAGATATTCAACTGCTCCTAATGATGTGACAAATATTGCCGGCTGACAATGTTCAGTTTTACTCAACATTTCTATTGGTCCGTTGATGCAAAGTTTCAGCAAATCATATCCAAGTATTGTTTTGGCTTTTGCAAATAATTTTTCTACATTTGGTGTATCAAAAATGGCCGAACCCATTCCAATAAATTGGCTACCTTGTCCAGGAAACAGTATGATACTTGTATCTCTTGGATCTATTTTCAGACGTGATTTGACCAGATGTAATTGTGAATCCAATTGTCGTTGTTTTTGAATGTCGGTAATTTTTTCATTTTCTTTCAAATCGGTTGAATTATTGCTACAAAAACGAATGGATACAATTCGTATCCGTTGAGGGAATTGATATGATCTTATCGTTCTTGAGATCATTTTTATAAACATAAACAAATGTTAAAATTCAAAAATTAAATGGTAAACATGTGATCAGAATCGTAAACAGAATCGATAGTATCGATTGAAAGAACAATCAAAAGACGATTTATTTTGAGTAAATTTTTGGACAAGAAGAAAAAAATTAGATAACGGTTTTTTTTTATTTTATTTTATAAATATTCATTATTAGTACGAAACGTTGGAAATTGTTCTCGTTTTATTCGTCGTAAATGTGCTGTAGTCAATATTACGGCAAAAATCTGGAACAATATTATCAAAAAGAACCATGGAAATGAAATTGCAATGAAAATGTTGACTAAAATATGTAACAATGTTAACATGCAATAAAGATAGACGATAAAATAATTTCCACAATGATTGGCACACAATGTGACTAGATTAAGAATATTCGCGAATAAAGCACTGGCCACCACTGAAGCAACAACAGATTCCTAAATGCAAATAGATGTGATTAAATTTAATTCTGGTCCTAAAAAAAAAAAAAAAAAAAAAATAAATCATACCTTATTGGTTGAATAATAAACCACAATGGCCATTATGATGAACAGAAATGATACAAAACAAAGAAAAATTGAGAATAAAATTTTATTATTTAAATGATCCAATTTATCTTGGATACGTTTATACATTGTTTGGATCGACATTTGGGCGCGATATAAATGATCAATATTGGAATTACGATTATTGGCTACGATTATATTCGAAAGATGTTCTTTTTGTTGATGATTTTCGTTTTCAGTACTCATCATCGTAGTCATTGTTGATATGATGTTATTTTGCTTACTACTGATTATTATATCATCATCATCACCATCACCATCACCAACACAACTATAGCAAACATTGTTGAGTGTTGTTGCATTTTTTTCTGCCATGTTAGAAAATAAAATGAAAGAAAGCAATTGATCCTACACATTCGATGTTATAATCAATAATGATAAGTGGATAAAGTCAATAATAATAATAATAATAAGTGATGATGATCATCCCATATATTCTAAATGACAACAGAAAAAAGGCAACCATTATATATATAGTCAACACATTTGATTGACAAGAATGTTGACTCTTTAGCACAATTATCCACACCATCGGTGTGATATTTAATTGAATTGAAATTATAAATTGAAAAAAATTACTCCGTAATCACACACCAAGGTGTGACGCTATTTTGAAAATATAAGATTTTTTTTTCATCATCATCATCATATAAATAAATTCGAAAAAAAATGAAAAAAAAACATTTCTTGATCATTTTCGAATTTTAAATTTTCAAAAAAAAAATGAAAAAAATTCGAAATTGCCGCGTAATTTTAATTTTGTTCAAACCAAAAAAAAAAATTGCAATTTTAGCCAACAACATCAACAAATGGGCCACACAACCAAAGCAACTTAATGATGAAAAATGAATAAAAGATATCGATCATGCGTATTATAACCAATGGCGGCCATCAAATTTTGTGTGTGTTCGTCGTGTATATATACACACCGATAATATACATACATGCATGCATGCCATATAATAATAACAATAATATATACGTCGATAGTGGCGCCGGCTATTGCAGTTAACTTATTAAGAACACTCAATTCTATTATTATTATTGTTGTTTGCTACTACCACCATTTGATAGGCTGAAGTTCCATATATTTATTCTTCTTCTGGTGTTTCACAAGTTATGTTCGTATGGTGTGTGTGTGTGTATGTTATGTATGGAAAATAATGTTTGATGGCTGCTGCTGCTGCTGTTGCTGATGCACACATCTTTTTTTTTCTCTCGATCATATACTTTGTCGCGAAATATTTTAGATTTTGTGTGTGTGTGTGTTGTTTGTCAAGATTCATCTTTTTTTTTTTTTTTTAAGAAAAAATTTGATAAATTGGTCATTTTTTTTGTTTGTTTGTTTGTTTGTGTGTGAATGTTCCAGGATCTTTGATTAAAGAGCAACGAAACAATCAGTTTGCTCTTTATAAAGATCACAGATTCAATAAACGTTGATTTTTCTTTTGTCTGTCAATTTGTTTTTTTGCCGTAAGAAAATTCCACTATTTTATTTTGGTAAGTGTTAATCTCATTTTAATTGTTTTACGTTTTTTGACCTTAGTTTATTGCTTATTGTCATTTTAGATAATCATCATCATCGTTCCATCATTATCCTTTTTTTTGTTGTTATATTCTTGCCTAAATATAATAATCACACACACATAAATGGAAAAACGTATTGAACTAGAGAAACGTGGTCGTAATCATGATCAAGTAAGTATTAAATATATAATATATATTCTTGGACCACTTTATTGATGATGAATCCAGTAATTGTCATCATCACGTGCCAAACAACATGGCTGCATAAATAAATGATCATCATCATCAATTATTATGTTGTTATATTGCCTGACAGCTCATCATTTACAATCGATTGCTATCCATATTCATAATAAGATTGTTTGGTTCTATCAAAATCAACATTCGATTGCGCCTTTTTTTATATATCCTCAATAGTATCTTCTTAATTTTATGTTTACTATTTTTTTCCAATTTAACCAATGCACACACACACAAACACACGCCTGTCCTTTGAATTCGGCAAAAAAAAAAATTATACGCCGTTTGATTGCACTAAAAAAAATCTGCTTTTAGCGCCACCTGGTTTTATTATTGTAAGTTTTCTAAATTTTCTTTAATTTTTTTCAAATTAGATCAAAGAATTGAATCTCGATAATTGTCGAAGCACAAACATTGTCGGTCTGGATGATTCGTTTGTCAATCTAGAATGTCTTAGCATGATCAACATTGGTTTGACTAGCCTGAAAGGTTTTCCTAATTTGCCCAACCTTAAACGATTGGAATTGTCCGACAATAGAATTTCAAATGGCTTGAATCATCTCAAAGGTAGCGTCAATTTACAATACCTGAATCTATGTGGAAACAAATTCAAAGATATTGAAACTTTGGAACCACTTGTAAGTAGTTTTTATTATTTCATAAGAAACTTTAATCCATTGTTTTTCATCATCATCATTATATAGAAAGAACTAAAAAAATTGGAAATTTTAGACCTATTCAACTGTGAAGTGACGGAACAACCCGAATATCGTAAAAAAGTTTTCGACATGCTCCCTGAGCTGAAATTTTTAGATGGTTATGATCGCAATGATCAGGAAATCGAAGATGATGAAGAAGACGATGGTGGTGGTTAGTTTTTTTAATGAATGTTTATTTTTTTGATTTTCTAATTGTAAATTTTACTGAATAGAAGAAAACGATGATGATATCGAAGATGAAGATGATGACGATGATGATGACGACGAAGGCATCGACGAAAATGATAATGATGACGATGATGATGATGAAGAAGTCGATGAAGATGAAGACGAGGAAGAAGATAATGAAATTGGTCTAAGTTATTTGGCCAGGGATAAAATCGATGTAAGTATTTTATTCTTTATTCATGTTACCGTAATGATAATCGTGCTTTATATAGGAAGAGGACGAGAATAATGAATTCAATCCAGAAGATAGTGAAGTAGATAGTGAAGATAGTGAAGATATTGATGAAGAAGATGAAGAAAATGATTCTTTTGAAGAACAACGAAACTCAGTAGCATCCGTCAATGCTGTATCGGGTGGCAAAACGAAAGCGCCGGAAAAAGGCCTGAAAAGAAAGGAACCTGAACATGATGATGATGAGGAAGAAGAAGCCTAATGAATTTGTTTAAAAAACTTATCTTTTTAAAAGTCGAACAATCCTTATCATCATCATCATCAAGTCCCCCACCCTCATCATCAAAACACAAACATTTGCAAAAAAAACGCCCACTTATAATTTAAAATCACACACACACATTTGTGCGTGTGTGCATAGTGAAAAAGCCAGATTGATTTCTCTCCATTCATTTTTTTTTTAATCATAATTATCCAATCATACAAATTGGTTAAATTCATTTCATTTGTGGCGTATATATACTAAATATTTCTCATATTTTACTTTTTTTTCTGGCTATTGTTTTTTTTTCCTCCATTACAATTCATTTCATACATGCATTCATATTCATTTTCATTTATTCATTCATTCATTCATTACAACAAACAAGTAATTTGGTGGACAAATGAATTATGGTGATGATGATGATGATGATTATTATAAAACCGAAATTTTCCAGTCACAGATTTAAACAGATACACACATACTAAACATCGATATCTGTGGATATTTGTTTGTCAAAAAAAATTTATATTTTATATTTTAATAATCGATAATTGAAATATCAAAGAAAATGAGAGTGATTCCTTATTTTTTAATCGAACAAGAATCTAAAAACGAAATTCTGTAAAATTTTCATTTTAAATCATAATAATATTGCTGTTGCTTCAAAAAAAAAAAACCACCACCACCACCAACACCATCACCTTTACATGCCATTCAATTCACACATTGCACAGAGAGAAAAAAAAATTTATTTACCAAAAAAAAAAAAAAATTTTTTCATTAAATACCCACACACACACACACACATGCACAAAAAAAATGTCATTGCAAACAAAAAGTTGAAAAAAAAAATTTTAAAAATAATTAAAAAACAGTTATTATATCATTAATCCAGTACCGGTGGTTTTCATTTTTTGCTTGAATGATTTGTGGAAGTTACAAAAAAAAAAAAAATTTCATTCGAAATAGCCTTTATGATGATGATGATGCTGATATCAATCATCGAAATCAATCAAAATTGAGAATTGTCCATCATCTATTTTCATATATCTATACGGATGGATTACGGTCTGTGTTATCCGTGTGCATGATTATTATGATGATAATGATGCCTCATCTTTTTTTTAATATATTGCCTGTCCAAGTTTTTTTTTCTAAATGAAAAAGTTGGATTTTTCTTCTTCTCGTTGTTGTTGTTTTTGGCCAATCTTTTGTCTTTTTTTTCATTTCTGTGTTGTTTTTATTTATTTCAAAGTAGTAAAATTATTATTAGTCATATATGATGACGATGACGATGACTGTTGATCCATGTTGAATTGTGTTTTATTATACTCGTGCTTGATTACATCTGGCCAATATATATATATATATGGACACACACACACACACACACACAATTATGTTAATTATTACACAGCGGGAAATGTTGATGATGATCATGACGATGATGATTGTGATTGTGATGCGGATAAATCCCACGAATAGAGCCATTTACGAAAAACGGATTTTTTTTTTTTTTTTTTTTGATGAACATTGGATGCTCTTTTTTTTTTTCGCATAATTTCGTCCATTTGAAATGTAGATTCATCATTTTTGGAACTTTTTTTTTTTTTTTGCTTTTCTTTTTTTTCGGTTTAAGAAGATGAAGAGAAAATTTCTCAATTTTTTTTTATTGTTTTAATTGCCATAATGTTGCTACAATCAACAAGAACAAGAAGAAAGAAGAAGAAGAAGAAGATGCAGAAAATTTTTTTTGACCATACTAAATAAAAAAAAACGACAACGATCAACAATATTATCGTGGCCATCGAATAGAAATGATCCATGTCTTTTATTCATTTTGTTTTCATCATTTGGCATTTGATGATGATGGTGATAATAATGGCGGCAACAGCAACAGCAACAACAACAACGACAATGTTTGAAATGTTTAGCCAGAATTTCTGGCAATTAATCACTAATACTCGATATTTTTTCTATTTAGCCAATCCATATGAAACAATGTTTCCGGATATGAATGTTCCACGATATGTTTCTGAAGTAAGTGATCCAGGCAATCATTGTGAATGAATGTGAATTAACTTACTGTTGATTTGTTTCTTTTTTGAATGTAGATGTTTCCTGTTTTCATATTTCTTGCATTTATTGAGAATTTAATAAGATTCTTTAGTGGTAAATCTATTCTACGATTAAATGATTCAATTGCATCAATATCAAGTGGCCTAGTGCAGGATTGTTTCAGGTTTGTTTGTTTGTTTGTTTGTTTTTTCAATTATTTCAAACTCGTTACAATGTAATGGACAAATTGTGTGGTCAATTTGTCATCATTTTGAATTGAATTTATCAACAAAAGTTGAGTGGACAGAAAAAAAAATTTATCACTTTATCGATTTTTATCATTATTATTATTATAGGATTCATATTCGAAGTCTTGAAGTATTTTGCTATTGTCTTGTATTTGAACATTTTCGTTTGACAACATTACCATGGAATTCATTGGCCACATGGTTATATTGTTTTCTTCTTGTTGATTTTGGTTTTTATTGGGCACATAGATTAGCACATGAAATCAATTTCATATGGGCTATTCATCAGGCTCATCATAGTGGTGAAGATTTTACACTTGTTGCTGCTTTACGGCAAGCCGTTCTTCAACCATTTACAGCTTGGGTAAGTCGAAAAAAAAAAAATTTTGTTGTTAAACTCATCTAAAATATCATATCTTTATGTATACAGATAACTTATGTACCGATGGCTGTGATTGGCATACCACCACAAACATTTCTTGTACATTTACAACTAACTGAATTGTATATGCTATGGATTCATACGGAAGCCATTAAATCATTGGGTTATTTGGAACTCATTTTCAATTGTCCATCACATCATCGTGTTCATCATGCACGTAATCGAAAATATATTGATAAAAACTATGGTGCATTATTCATTTTTTGGGATAAATTATTCGATACATATCAAGATGAAGATCCACAGGAACCACCTGTATATGGTCTAGTACATCCGGTTGAAAGTTATGATCCATTTTATTTACAATTTCATACATGGATCACAATGTATCATAATATTCGACATACTCCAGGTATATGGAATAAATTTTGTATACCATTCAAAGGACCTGGTTGGTCACCAGGAAAACCAAGACTTGGTTATATTGATGAAATTCCGGATATTAAACAACCAGTTGAATATTGGAATCCAAAGATTTCATTTTGGAAAAAAGTTTATGCTATTTGCCATACAGTTATTATTGTCATTTTCTATCATGAATTGAGTACAAAATCGAATCAACTTACACAATTGAACATTTTTTTGGGTGTCGTTTGTATATTGGCTACATTTACAACCATCGGATCGTGGTTGGAAAATAAGTGCGTAACATTTTTAAATTTTGTAATTTTCTTCTTTAAGTTTTTTTTTCTCATTCCTCAACTATGTATAGAGAAAAAGCCATTCGAATGGAATTGGTTCGTTGTGCAGTATTTTTGATGTTTGAAAAATATCTTATACCATTGACTAGTGTCAAAGAAATGGACACATCCTATCAATCATCCATTATTTGGACATTTCGTATGACGTACATGATTTCCATTATGATCTGTACATTGTATGAATTTATTCGTATGGTTATCCATTTATTTGATCATTTAAAATGGCAATTGAAACAAACTAAATTACATGTAAATTAAAGATGTATTATCCATGAAACTTGATATTATTAAAAATTTTATAAATTCAAAAAAAAAATGTATATGATCATCATCATGTTATTTATGTACGGACAATCCACTGAAATGTAACGGGATACTTTTTAGCCAAATATTCAATATTGGATACAATACTAGCAGCATAGTTTGATAGTATACAGCCTGTGTGTGTGTGTGTAATCTCTCTGTGTGTGTGTGTGTGTGTGTGACTCATTGATTGTCATCATCAACAATATAATATACAATGTTTAATTGCGTTTGTTTTAGGTTCGATTTGTTTGTTTTTTTTTTGGATTCTATTTTATCTTCGATACAAAATATCCATTTGATTTGGTTACAAAAAAAAAGTTATGGTCATAACTGATTTCAGTAGCAATAATAACAACAACAACAACAACAGCTGATCATCGATCCTGTTCACAAGTACAACTTTACCATTCAATTCCCATTTGTAATCAAAAAAAAAAAATAAAATACCAAGGACATTGATTTCATCTTTATTGCAATCAGATCATCATTGATCATTGATTAATCATCGTATATTGTGTGTCTGTGTGTGTGTACGTTATTCTTTATAGTTTTATATATAGAAAATCAATTTAAATACCAAAAACGAATGTATCAATAAATCAAGAATACAAAGAATAAAATTAACAAAATGAATCTGAATTTTTGGTCGCTTTCAAGCGCCTTTTATTTATTCATAAGTAAGTTGTAAATTTTTTTATTTTGAATCATCAAATTGACTTTATTTTATTTTTTTTTTATTTTGATTGAATAGAATTTACAGCAGCTCATCTGGATCAACAATGCAATTTTAGTATGTGTTTGAATTCTTTTATGGTGCCCATCCAACATGCATACTGTGATAATAATAATCGTTGCCGTTGTAAAGATGGTTATGTACCAGTTAGCCATCATCAATGTGTTGAAACACAATATCCTGGTAAACCATGTGAAAATGATAATGTTTGTAGGTTTAAAGATGAAAATTCATTTTGCGATACAAATCGAAGAAGTCCGATTTGTGAATGCAAAAAAAGTCATATCTACGATAGTGAACAGAAAAAGTGCATTCTTTGTAAGTATTAGTCATTTATTAATACTAAAAATGACATTTTGACTGTTTATTTTTTCCACTGAAAAAAAGATGTGAAAAAACCAAAAAAGTCAACACCATTGTTTCCGATGACAGCAATCATACTCATTGCCTGTATAGGTATATTCTGTGGCTGTGGAATTATTTGTCACAATTTTCGACGTCAACCAGAATTATCAGTCAGTGTTGATCATATTGATCGATATGCATCCGAAAGACGACAAACATTAAATCATCATCATCATCATCTTCCTCATCATCATCATAATCATTATGATGATCATACGAATTTAGCTGGCAGTTCAAGAATGAATAATAATTCACATAATGATTTATCCGATTCTGATCTGGCTATAACAAATCCACCAGCACCATTATTACGATCGGATAGTCATTCAACATCATCTAAATATGATTCATTAATGTATGATGATCCACCACCAAGATATGAAGATGCTATCAAAGAATATCATGATTCAATTGTTAATGAATCACCTACAAATAATAATAATAATAACAACAACAACAATACTTTTATGGACCAACAACAGCAGCAGCAGCAGCAACAACAACAACAACAAGTGCAACAAACAACGATAGGATTCTGTACGGTGATGGCTGCCACCAAGTCGTGATCATCATCGGAATTTGAAAAGCACTCTAAAAACAAAACAAAAAATCTAATTTATTTACATATGAATATTTTGAAAAAACATTTTTTAGTCAAAAAAAACTGCGACATTCAGACAAATCAACTTTCCACAAAAAAAAATCCGGCAACATATCTTTACTCTCTGAGGAGATAAGTATGTATGTGTTTGAGAGAGAAAGAGAGAGAAAAACCCTTATTACTCATTATTCACTTTGGCAATTTTTTTCCTTTTTTAACTAATCATTCCATCTTCATCCACCTGTTAAATTCTTTATCTCTCTTTCTCTTTTTTTTTCTCTCTGTATAATATCTGTGTTTTATTTTTATTTTTGCTTGGATGGCTAGTTACAAAAACACCCCTTTTACTCATTCTATATATTCATTTATTCATTGTCTTTCGTTTTTTTTTAAACAAAAAAAAAATATTTTAAACACACACAAACACATACACATCCACACATATACTATACTATATTGTCACATGAACAGGTATTTGCATTATTAATATACGATTGATGCTCAATTCATATTTTTTTGTTTTGTTTTTTGTCATTTCATTTTTAAATAATCATCATTCCTTGATTTTTAGTTGTAAAAAAAAAATTAAAAATTTTTTTTTTCCTTTACTTATAAATGGATAGATGGCGTAACGTGTTTCATAATAATGACATTAATATGTAATAATATATTTATCAAACAAACAAATTCAATTTTCAAGGGTGGTGGATTAAACTGAAAATTATTATTATTATTATTATGTCGATGGGAGATCTATAAAGAGAAAAAACACGATCTGGAAATGACAAAACCACCAATTTAATTACTCTATATGATTTATTATTTATTCCAAAATTTTTTTTTTTTGCTGTTTCGTTCCCGAAATCTTTGAAAATCTAATTGGTTTTTTTTTGCACATTCATTTCGGTGTAGCAAGAAACAAAAAAAAGAGAAAATTTTTATTAACCAAAATTCCAATACATTATTTTCATTCAATCACCGAAACCAAATGTTTGTCTCTCCATCGCTTTCTTTTGTGTATGCAAGCAAAAGTATTTGGATCACAAACAACAATCCTAGATTAGTTAGGCTAATCTCATGGAAACCAAAAAAAATAAAATTATTCGTCATCATGTCGTCTTCCTCCAATATTATTACAATGCAGCAGCAACAACAACAACAACAACAACAAACTTGGAAATTGAAATAATCGACACACACACATACATGCACACACAATGTCATTTTCAATCGAATTCAATGAAATTGAAACCCTAATGTGAATTAATTTCATTTATATATATATATATGACGGACATAGTATAGCTTGACATTGTGGAAAAAAAATGAAAGCTAATCATGCATTTGGTGAACGAATAGAGAGAGAGAGAGATGGAAAAAAAAGAAACACAAGAATGGTATATGGTTGAGAAATAAATCATTTCAATAGAGATTTTGTATTTGAATTGGTGAATAGAATAGAAAATAGCATATATACCCACAAAATAAAAAAGAACCACTCTCACCATAATGGGTGAAAAAAGAAATATGAAAAAGATTCACAAATCCCTAAGCGTCATACCACCGGATATCCAGTTTGTTTCTAAATTAAGGTAAAATGCTCATTCTCGATTCAGTTTTTTTTTGTTTTTTGTTTCTTGTGAGTCCGGTTTTAATTGACGAATGAAAATTGAAAAAAATTGAGCGAATTTGGTTATCTGGAATCTGTATCCAGAAATCCACCAGCGGCATTAGTGGCATTCACAGCCATCGAAATAATTAATGACCGAAAAAAAAAAAAAACAAAAAACAAACGGTGAGACGATAACAACCTCCCCAAAACAAAATAACAGCGTATCAGAATTAGCGATTAAAATAGATGTCCCGATAATTTAACGGTACATCGAACATACACACACACACACACACACAGATACCCGTGAGTGTTTAAGTATTTGAATTTTCATCCAAATTCTACTCATGATAATGTTTGTATTTTCAAATGATATTGAATAACAACAGCAGCAGCAGTAGCATCTGAAAAAAAGTACATTTGAATATTTGATTAGAACCGAATCCAAAAAAAAAAAAAAAAAAGAAAGAGAAGAAAAAATCTTTAAAATTCAATTAAAATTGATTAAATTTGCAAATTCAAATTCACTATCACACACACTGACTCATTCGTTTTTTTCACTGATTATACATCCCCGCGGCATAGAGTAAGAGAAGAGAGAGAGAGAGAGAGAGAAAAAAAAAAGTTCAAATAAAAATCTAAAGCGCCATCAACCTTTTTATTCATTCTCCTGGACGACTCATAAGATCATCACCATCATCATCATCATCATGGAGGTTGGTTGTGCTTGAAGAAGATTCACAATTATTGAACATGAAAATAGATAAATCATTTGCATTAATTTAAATAGAATCGAGGTGAGTATAATATTACTCTATATGCGTGTGTGTGTGTGTTGATTCTTGAAACAATAAAAAAACAAAACAAAAAAGTTACGTTCCAAAAGTGAATAAGAGTGAGAGAGAGAGAGAGAGAAAAAGTATCAAAAGGCAATTAAGCGTGATCTAATTTAAGAATATTCTTTCCATCTCAAAATTCTTTATTGTTTCCCAGTTTTTATTCATCTACATTGTACATGCATAAAAGCTAACAAAAAAAAAGAAAAAGTTTTTCCATAAATGGACGAACCTTTTGAGCTGATTTTTGGCCCCTTTTTTATTATTATTATTATTAGATTGGTTCATCCAGTGTTGTTACCGTTATACGAATAAAAAAAAAGTGATATGACATGTTTCAATACTCATGCTGCTGCTGCTGATACTGCTGGTGTTAATTATTATCATTATCATTCTTGATGAAAAAAAAAGAAAACAAAAATCTCAAATGAGTTTATTTCATCATTGTCGTCGTCGTCGTCATCGTCGTTGTTGTTGTTGTTGTTTTTGGCTAGAAAACTTTTAACCTATTAATTTTCATCCTCATCATCATCTTTTTTTCTTTTCTTTTGTTTCACACATACACACACACACACACACACAAAAGAAAACTTTACTTTTGATGAAATGAAAATAAAAATATAGATTTAGATTGTCAATCTAATTATCATCTTCGTATATACGGTGGTGGTGGTAGTAGTAGTCAAGTAGACAAGTAGAAAGAAAGGGTTACTTTTTTTTTTTGATCAAATTGATACTGGTCTGTGTATGTGACTGATTGGTTCATCTTCAATATTCTATAATCGGAAGTAGTCAATTTTTTGTCGTCGTGTTGTTACAATCGAATGACACATCCGTTTTGATTCCATTCACCATGATAAACCAATAATAGATACACACATACTACATAGGTGTGTATAATAATGACTATTTTTTTTTTTTTTGTACATCAGGTTTTTTTTCTGAAGAAAAATTTTTTCTTTTAATTGAAACGGTGGAAAAAAAGAATCATCATCATCATCATTATCACGAATCGAATGAATCGGATGAATGCAAAAAAAAATCGATTCCAACCATCAAATTTCAAACATGTGAACAGAGAGTGAAGGTTTTAATGATGATGATGATGATGATTCGTTTAGATTCATTACCAAACTATACCCGTTAGTTCGTTTATTCATTCATTCATTTATTCAAGGCTATAAAAGTAATTAACAATCATTCGGGTAATCTCACAAAACTGGTGTGTGTGTGTACAGGAGCCATGCAGGAGAATTTCATTATTAGATGTGTGATGTGTTTGCTATATCTATTTAATGTAATAGATGCTGAATATGCACAGGTCTGGTCTCTGTGTGTGTGTGTGCGTTCCAATCATGACCAAAGATAGATGTGTTTCATTGATGCGGATGATGATGATGATTTTTTTTCTGGTTGCCAAAAAAAATGCACCAAAAAAAAGAAAATCAATGACTGATCGACACTACAAACAAAACAAAACAAAAAAAACATGGATCGCGTGTCTATGCATGTGATGAGCTCGACAAAATCTTGCACACACATGAAATGCAATGCAATTTTAGTGTTACGGTTGTTCCAACAATATCAACAACAACAACCAACAACAACAAAAACAAACATGACATCCCCTTGCATTTATTATCATGAACTGCCCGTTTTCTACTTTTTTTTCTGATTTTATTTTATTGCCATTCACGGCAGTTTAATTTGAGCAGAATTTATTTGAAAAACACACACACATGCACACACAATAAGCAATGAACTGAGCTAATGAGAAAATGGATCCATCGATCCAATTTATATCGAGTATTATATTACCAGATTTTTTTCTCTGCACGTTTTTATTTTCGCTGATTGAACAAATAAAACGATCGAATCCAAATAGCAATAACGCACACACACACACCTGAGCTTGTTTTTGTTGGAAAACCTCTCTCTCTCTCTCTGTGATGTGAGAATCAATCGATCGAGCTGAAAATCGATTCAAATATAAATACGAAAAAAAATTCTGGTTTCTGGTTATTATTATTATTATTATATTCCATTGGATTTAATTCAATTCAATTAATTGTTGATATTTAACTGGAATTTCTGGTTGATAATGATGGCAGCCAATGGTATCCAACAGTGAACAGTTTTTTTTTTTTTTTTTTTTGATTATTATTCACCATTCATTTTCCAATGTAATGATGATCCTGTGGAAAATGAAAATGAAAAAAAAAATTTTAACAAAAATTTTGAATAAGAATTTCAAATGAACAGAATTTTTTTTTTCACCGAACAAAATGTCCATTAACTTTTGGCTGTCCTGCTTTTATTCTCTCTCTCTGTGTGTGTGTGTGTATGTGTGTCTGCTAATTTAAGAATTTGATTTATGACCCAATTTTCTATTCTTTTATTTCTTTAGCCTTTATTTTTGTTGATAAAAACAATGAAAAAGTAAACTTTTTTCTTTTCATTCATTCATTCATTCATTTTTTTTTTGATTCATTGTGAACCATGAAACTACAGAATCGGATTCTTTCGTTCATTTTTATACACATGGTTACCGATCGATTTTTTTTTGACTACGGCTACGAGTTCTTTCTCACTCTATATTTGAATTTACCTTAATCGGGGAGGGAAACGAAATACAAGAGATAAGAGAACGGGAATCAAGTTTGAATGAATGAACGAATTAACAGAATTGAATTGAATTGAATGAATGAATGGCTAAAAAGACCTTTTTTTTCTTCTTTGGACAATCAAAAAAAAATGTCATTCTTTGGACTATTGGAAAAGTTTTTTTTTTGTTGCTTATGACTGTATGAGTAAATGAAATGAAATATTTGAACCAATGGACGAACAAGAAAGAAAGCAAAGAGAAAAAAAAATTAAACCCAAATGAAAACAGCCAGTATTCGAAAGATAAGAGCTTAATTGCTAAAATTTCGTTTGCTCGTTCTATCAATCGGTCGTTTGGTAGGATTAACTAACAAAACAAAAAGAGAGAGAGAGAGAAAATGAAACTCTCCTGCCAAAAAGAAAGTAAAAATCAGTGAATCAAACTTGATTGAATTGAAT